ATAAGTTATTTTCAAATAATTAAAGAACATATTTCTTTAAGGAGTATATATTCAAATGCATAATACTAGAGACATCTTGCTCTTGCTTAGAACAGTCAGAAAAGGGTCCTTTCCCCATGATCCCACATAATTTAGTGCAAGGAGTGGAATAAAATTTGAGGTTTTTTTAAGATTTTATTTTTAAGTAATTTCTACACTCAACGTGGGGGTCAAACTCACAACCCTGAGATTAAGAATCACATGCTCTACTGACTGAACCAGCCAGGTGCTCCTAGAATTTGGGTGGGTTTTGTTTTGTTTTGTTTTGTTTTTGGTGTATGTATGTGTAAAATTTGGTTTTTAAAGCATTCTTTTTTATTTATTTTTTTTTAAATGTTTTTTTATTTATTTCTAGGAGAGAGAGAGACAGCGTGAGCAGGGGAGGGTCAGAGAGAGAGAGGGAGTCACAGACTGAAACAGGCTCCAGGCTCTGAGCTGGCAGTCAGCACAGAGCCCGACGCGGGGCTCGAACCCACGAACCGTGAGATCATGACCTAAGCGAAAGTCGGACGCTTAACCGACTAAGCCACCCAGGCGCCCCTAAAGCATTCTTTTTTAAAAACTTTTCTTTAATGTTTATTTTTGAAAGAGAGAGACAGACTGAGAGCCGAAGAGGGTGGAGAGAGAGGGAGATACAGAATCTGAAACAGGCTCCACGCTCTGAGCTGTCAGCACAGATGTGGGGCTCAAATCCATGGACTGCAAGATCATGACCTGAGCTGAGGTCGGACGGTTAACCAATTGAGCCACCCAGGTGCCCCAACATTCTTTTTGATGGTAAGGTAGAATATTTGTGAAACTAGTGAACACAAAGAACAACAAAAGTAATAGTATTCAGTTGAACTGATGAATAGTCTCTGTGGTTCTGTAACAGAAATGGTAAAGGTTCTTCTTTTTTATCATTACACTTTTAATAATTATCTCTCCAACTTTTTCTGTGGAAATTGTTCATATTTACAAAATGTTATAATATTAGTACAATGAACTTTAATATATTATTCACCTAGATGCACTAATTATTGATGCCTAAGAGTTCTTCTTTTCATGAGACTTTTTCCTTAAGGAAGATCCACCCTAGCAAGCAATGCCAGAATTTACTGCCTTTCACATTCCCTCAGCAACTTAGGGCCCTGGTGGATGACAGGTGAGTGCCAGGTGGTTTTCCAGCACCAGAAATCAGTAGCATTAAGCTAAATTGGAGTAATAGAGACTATGGAACATCACTCTGAACTAAGATCTGGATTACTTACAAAATTTTTTTTTTAATTTTTTAATTTATTTCTGAGAGATAGAAACAGTGTGAGCAGGGGAGGGTCAGAGGGAGAGAGAGACACAGAATCCGAAACAGGCTCCAGCCTCTGAGCTAGCTGTCGGCACAGAGCCTGATGTGGGGCTCGAACCCACCAATCATGAGACCATGACCTGAGCCGAAGTGGGATGCTCAACCGACGGAGCCACCCAGGTGCCCCACTTAAAAAAAATTTTAATGTTTTATTTATTTTTGAGAGAGAGTGAGAGACATAGTATATGTGGGGGAGGGACAGATAGCGAGAGAGACATAGAATCTGAAGCAGGCTCTAGGCTCTGAGCTGTCAGCACAGAGCTGGACATGGGGCTCGAACCGATGAACTGTGAGATCATGACCTGAGCCAAAGTCGGACGTTTAGCCAGCTGAGCCATCCAGGCACACCAGTTCTGAATTCCTTTAAAAAACAGACCAAAAACAAAAACAAAAAACAATCCACAGATCTAGCAAGATGCAATTTACAGATCATAAAATTCACCTGTTTCAAGTGTACAATAATTTTTAGTAAATTCGCATAGTCATACAACCGTCATCACAGTCTGGATTATTGTTTCTAATCTGTCAGAAACTGCTGTTCTAATGAAACTATGACAAAGTTGCCAGTTCCAACTTTGCCTCTTACACATGCAACTAGCTTTTGTGTGTCTGTGTTGTGATATGTTTCACAACACCCTGGATTTAGCTGTAGTTGGGAATAATAGCTTGTTCTCAAGTACACCCAGTATAGTATGTTCTACCCTTCATAATTATAACTACAGCTCTAACAGCCGCTACGGGGATTTAGATGCTTAAAGAAGTATCTCAAACTGCTGGAAATCAGAGATGATTTCAATATATTTTGCAAGACCTGCAGGATTGTTTATACCTTTATTGGCAATACTACCCTTAGACCCTCCTGAGGGATGCCCTGCTCTGGACTCTGGGCTCTGACTGCACCAGGTATGAAGAGGCCATGGAGCCAAAGTGTTGTTGTTGTTGTTGTTTTAACTTTATGTATTTATTTTGAGAGAGAAACAGAGCATGTGAGTGGGGAAGGGGCGGAGAGAGGGGGAGACAGAATCCCAAGCAGGCTCCGCACCATCAGCAAAGAGCCTGATGCAGGGCTCCAAACCACGAACAGTGAGATCATGACCTGAGTCAAAGTCAAGAGTCAGATGCTTAACTGACTGAGCCACCCAGATGCTCTGGAGCCCTCTTCAGATTTCTTGCAACCATCCTCACCGTGCTGAGGTGTCCAGGACTCTGAATTCCCCGCCCATACCACCCCAAGCTTGTTTCCATACCTGAGGAGGTCTCTTCCCTGAGCCAGTCCTGCCTTTAGGTCTGCCAGGGGGTGATAGCAGTCAGGAGGGTGGGTGACTACTGTTTGCATTTGTGGGCTGGGTGTCCACACACATGCACAAAGCCCCTCAGCGTAGGATGGAGCCTGAGTTCAGAGAAGGGCATGGGCTGACACCCAGGGCTGGCTCTCTGCACACTGCCCCTTCCAGGAACAGAATTCTAGAAAGTCTGAGAATTCTAAATTGGAATCTGACTTCCTTCATGATGGTGTATTTGTCAAGATAGGAGGATAAAATATTTAACGGAAGTTTGCTAAATTGATTTACATTTTTTCAGTATTTAGAAATATGGTGTGTGAAGCTCTATTTGCACAATTTCATTTACAAGAAATGTCCAGAATAGGCTAATCCATAGAGACAGAAAATAGAATAGGGGTGCCTGGGTGGCTCAGTTGCTTGAGCGTCCGACTTCAGCTCAGGTCATGACCTCGCTGTTCAGGAGTTTGAGCCCCACGTCTGCTGTCAGCACAGAGCCTGATTCAGATCCTCTGTCCCCACCTCTCTCTGCCTCCCCCCCTTATTTAATGTTTTAAATAAACATTAAAAAGAAAGAAAATATATTAATGGTTGGCAGAGGCTAAGCTAAGGAGAGGAATGATGAATGACTGCTATTGGATGTGGGGTTCCTTTTGGGGATGATGAAAGTGTTCTGGAACCTGATACCGGTAATAGAGGCACAGCTCTGTGAATATAGGTTTCCCCTGAAAGTACAGTGTTCCTATAAAACTTTTCCGAAGCTAAAATGTCTTAAAGCAAAGAAGCAATTACTATTAATTTATTATTTTTAAAAAAGTTTTTTTTTAAAAGTAATCTCTACACCCCACAGGGGCTTGAACTCACGACCCTGAGATCAAGAGTCCCATGCATGATCTTCTGACTGAGCCAGCCAGGTGCCCCCTACTGTTAATTTCTACGGGGGAAACTTTGGAGCCCTCCCAGATCCAAACAAACCCCGCTTTGGCTTTTCTGGTCCCGTAGGACACATCTTGCTAACAGATGCACAAAATAAATTGAGATACAGCACAGACGACCACAGACACAATTCGAAGCTTGGGTGGCTTGATGCTGAGATGCTGAGTGTGGTTCCCGGTAAAGGAGCTTGGCAGTGCCAGTTTTGCTGTGCCGGTGCGTGCCGCCCTTCTTGTCGCGGAACAAATGTGGCACGTATTCTGGTTTTTCCTTATAAAAGTGAAAATCCTCTTCAGATTTCTTTTGGTTAGCAAAAAACAGGTACCAACGTAGGGTTTTCATAAAAGCGAAGTAGGCAAAACATGGATTTTAAAAAAGCAGGGGATACTTGTACTAAAAGTCAGTGAACTGTATGCTTTAAAAGGATGAGTTTAGGAGCGCCTGGGTGGCTCAGTTGGGTTGAGCATCCAACTCTTGATTTCAGCTCAGGTCATGGGTCATGGGATCGAAACTCATGTTGGGTTCCATGCTGAAAGTGGAGCTTGCTTAAAATTCTCCCTCCCCTGCTTGTTCTCTCTAAAATATAAATAAATATAAATAAATTAAATAAATAAAAGGATGAGTTTAATATTTGGACGATTTTGCAGTAAGACTGTGGTAGGGTCCCCTCCCTAAAACAAAACAAAAAGAAAAAAAAACTGAAGGCAACCTGGCTATACGTGTACGTGACAACATCCCTCACAACCTTATAACACGAGACCACTTAATCAGACTACATGTTTGTGTGTTACCATATATGAGACACAGAAAAGTAAAAAATATATAAAAAACTATGCCACATGGCATTCGGGGCTCAGTTCTTCGAGTATGAACCCAACTGAGTGGTGTTGGCAGGAATAAAGTTGCTTCCTGGAAAGAAAAGCCTCGGTGGCACGACTCTCTGTGCGAGAATCCTGCTATAAGACAATGACAGAAGTATGCAGACTTCTGTAAAGAAGAGCTGAAAACAAATGTGTTTTGTTTTTTTTTTTTAAAGTTTTATTTCTAGGAGAGAGAGAGAGAGAGAGAGAGAGACAGCGTGAGCAGGGGAGGATCAGAGTGAGAGGGAGTCACAGACTGAAACAGGCTCCAGGCTCTGAGCTGGCAAGCAGCACAGAGCCCGACGCGGGGCTCGAACCCACGAACCGCGAGATCATGACCTAAGCGAAAGTCGGATGCTTAACCGACTAAGCCACCCAGGTGCCCCAAAACAAACGTGTTTTAAATTCAACCAAAAGTAGAGATATTTCTAATATTTGGAACCAAAAGAATTACAAGTATGGTGGTGGTGAGTTCGCACATTCCTTAAGTCTATGTTCCTGTGTCTGAATATAAGAACATTTGAGGGTATATAAAAGTGTACGTACCGTGAATTAAGGTATGTGGTCATTTACTTATTCTCCAAGTAAGGTGATGGGAGGCAGGGCCTGGAGTATAAGGCGGATGCATCAGAATCTAGGAAACCATACGTCCTCTATGAGCTTATGGTTACCTGAGTTTCTATAGGGCTAGTTATCTAGAGTAGTATGTAACGTAATTCAGCTATGCTGCGACTACCTACACACTTGGGAGATCACGCCAGATGTTAGGTCCTTAGCCCGCTAATTCTGAGTGAAACTGGGGGTGCAAGCCCTGTCTCACAGACCCCACAATTTAGACACACTGCTCCCAGCGGCCTCTGCCAAGAGTCACGTAGTCCTTAGTTACTGTGAAATAAACCTGTAAAAATGCCTTAGGAAATAATGGAAAGTTGCCTCCCAAAAAGTCTGTGGGATGCTGTTCTGCCTGAGATAACAGCGGGTCATGTTCCCAAGGGGGAAAAAAATAATTTGCAGCTTAGCGATAGTTACAAGATGTAGAACTTTTGCCTTTGTACTCTAGAGATGACATCACCAATGCAATCTGCCCGGAGCGTTTTGCAGTTCCAGGCCCTAAAAGCAGATCGACCACCTCCTTACCAGCGTACCGAAACCAAAGAGGGAGACGCCAGAGGGGATACGATGATCAAGAAAGGAAAAATTATAGCTGACCTAATCCCTAATCAATCAGCATGATCCAAGGCCCTGGGACCCTTGCCCTGATTTTTCACCCTTTTAAAACCCTGCTTCTAAACCACGGTGCTGTTTGGGACTTTTGAGCGTTCGCTCCTGCTGCTTCTCCTGGGTGGCGCCACAGCAATAAATAGCCTTTCTTCAAATGCGAAAGCTCCGTGTCAGTTGTTATTGGCTTGCTGTCCACAGAGTGGACGAACTCTCACCTGGTTTGGTTACAAAGGTTGGACTGGATGTCCTTTAAGATTGCTTCCAGCTCTAACAATCCACAACGCGGTGATTTCATCCTACGCCTGCAACCGGATTAACTCGGGTCAGGAGTAAAGCAGATAAATTAAGTCGTCCAACCAACATATATTTATTACAGTTCCGTATCATGTTTACTATGTAAATAAGAAACCGTATTTTGGTGAACGCCCGCCGGTAAACGAAAGTTCGCTGGGTTCAGCGATTTTTTTCGAAGCTTCCCTGAAACCGGAGGCCGCAGATCACGTGCCAGTCAGCGCCGGGCGTTGCTATGGAACCCAACACGGTCCAAATCGGAAGTGGTCCTTGAAAAAGACTTTCCCAGGAAACTTGCATTGGAAAAAGAATACCATTCTAATTCGCCTTTTCTTAAAGTCAAGTTCAAAATAGAGATACAGACTTTCACTCCCAGCACACAAAACCCTGCCGCTCCGCCTGAGAGGAGAACTTCTCCTCCCGCACCGGCCGAAGGGAGCGGAACCAAAATGTGCAGGGCGCCGGTTCCCGTGAGAGCGCTTCTCCGCGGCGAACCAGGCCCCACCCCCGCGGGGTTGCCGTGGAGACGGAGCGTGCGGTGTGGATGCCGAGACGCGCTAACGCTGGGCCTTTTCTGTCCGTCTGGGGAAGAGGCTCACCGAACCAACTCCCAAGATGGTTAGTGACTGTGAAGAGTGAGGGAGGAGAACTTTGAGTGGATCCTAGGACCGGAGATCGGAGGTTCCCAGCGCACTTCTGGGTTAAGGCTAGGCGTGTCGGCGGAGGGTGATCTCCCTACCCTACCCGCGTTCTCAGGGGAGACAGGGATGCGACTGTAAACACCTCGATGCCTTCTTCCCTCCAGCTTCTCCATTTCCCCACATCTAGGCTGCACGAGGGATGGAAAGCAGACCAAGGGAGGGCTGAGATCACAAGCTGCGCCAAAGCATCTCCTGCCCCACTCTAATGAGTTGATAAAGAAGATAACGTGTAGTGGCTGTTGAGTTCAGCCCAAGTATAGGGTGATGGCCCTTTTAGTAAAATATTTGTTACAAAGAGTTTGAATGCGCTTCCCTGGGGTTCGTTGTTAAGGATTTGATATGCGCGTCCTGGAGCTGTCACTCAGTTTAAAACCGACCATGGGAATTGGATCATACAGCTGTCTTTCGTTGCTTCTTTCACAGATGCTCTCAAGGGCCAAGCCTGCTGTGGGCGGGGACCTACCTCACACTGACAAGAGAAAGAAGAAAGGTAGGAAGATTCCAAAACTAGAGGAGCTACTTTCACAAAGGGATTTCACTGGAGCTATTACCCTATTAGAGGTAATGTCCTAAGAAGCTTGCTTCGTAGGAGGTGAATACCAGAATATGGATGAATGCTTGGGGGGACGCTGGTTGCTATGCTGTTGGAACAGGTGGAATGTTTTTTGGGGGGGCTTCCTATACATCAGGTCAGGCACAGATTTCAGATTCCGTGTTAATGATACACCTGACTAAAGATGAACTAAGAAGATCGATTTGAGGCTCCTGAGTGGCTCAGTCGGTTAGGCATCCGACTTCAGCTCAGGTCATGATCCCACCATCTGTGGGTTCCAGCCCGGTGTCAGGCTCTGTGCTGACAGCTCAGAGCCTGGAGCCTCTTTCAGATTCTGTGTCTCCCTTTCTCTCTGACCCTCCCCTGCTCACGGTCTCTTTCTCTCTTTCTCTCTCTCTCTCTCAGAAATAAATAAAACATTAAAAAAAATTTAAAAAAAGGAGATCGACTTCCTTCTTGAGGGACACTTATTTCTAGTCCCACTGATGGTGAATTCAGCTAAAAATATGGAGGGACATTTGATACAGCATCAGTTCACATATTGTTTATCCCAACCCCTGACCAATCTATGATTTAGTCCTATTATATGTTATAAGATTTGGATCATTTAAATAATACTACTGTGCTTCATGCTTATTGTCTAGAATACTATATCTTCAGAAAATACTTTAAATCTCTATGGCAGTAGTTTTCAACTTTTAGTATGCATTAGAATCACTTAGGGTACTTATTAAAATGTATATTCCTCAACTCCTGCCTTAGGGATTAGGATTCTTTTTTAAAAATATTTATTTATTTTTGACGGGGGGGGGGGAGCAGAGAGAGACAGAGACAGAGACAGAGAATCCCAAGCAGACTCTACACTCAGCACAGAGCCCATCATGAGCTACATCTTAGAAACCGTGAGGTCATGACTCAAGTTGAATCAAGAGTCCGACGCTTAACCGACTACGCCACAAGGGTGCCCCAGGGATTTTGAGTCTTTACATATTACTCTATGGTGCTGTTCAGGAGCCTGCATTTTTGTCATAGAGCCCAAGTGCTTCTGATGTAGATGATCCAAGGACACTACACCTTGAGAAACTGCTTTGCGGGAATCACATGTTATAGGAGAATGAAGGAGCGCACAAAAGAATGAAGAGTTGAAGGGTTTTGACAGCATAGTCCAGTTGTGTTGTGCCAGTCATTTCTCCAAAGCACTACTCCAGCTATCTTACTTAGAATCTCTCAACAATGATTGTTTAGTTAGCTTTATGTATTTCTCAATACATTTGACTTTTTTGGTGTCAGCTTTCTCATCTTTAAAATGGGGAAGTTGGGACACCTGAGTGGCTTAATTGGGTAAGTGTCCGACTTTGTCTCAGTTCATGATCTTGCAGTTTGTGAGTTCGAGCCCCGCATCCGGCTTTGTGCTGACAGCTCAGGACCTGGAGCCTGCTTCAGATTCCATGTCTCCCTCTCTCTCTGCCCCTCCCCTGCTCACACTCTGTCTTTCAAAAAACTGAATAAATGTCAAAAAAATTATTAAAATGGGGAAGTTGACTTGGAACGACCTTCTAGGTCTATAAGCAAATGGGCTAACTGGTAGGTATGTCTAATTTTTGTCAGTTTCTATTTCTCTTCTCTCTTTTAAGACAACACCCACAGTTTCCTTACTGTGTAATCCTGCACTACTTTCAGGTTGTCACAGAGACTCTGCTCTATGCTTACATTGTTAGGTAGCCGTGATCTGTGGGAATGGGAACTGCCGTGGTTTGGAGTGAGGAAGTCTCATGAGCTTTCCTTTGGTTCCAGGTAATTCCTGGGGCAAATTCAGGAAGACTTCAAATGAGAATGCCTTCAGACTTAAGGCACTGTACTCAAATCCCCAGCATTTTGTGAAAGGAAGATTTCTAATGCTATAGAGTTAACTACAGGAGTAAGTTCTTATCCTAGGCCAGAAAGTATCAATGGATGTCTTCATCTTGTAACAGTCAAGGTGCCCAATGTTCTATAGCAATGATCTACAGATATGTGTTGGCTCCCTATTTAACTTTTTTTATCCATGTTTTTGGTTTCTCAGCTTGTGGAATGGAAAACTCTCACCTTACTATGGGAGATCAAACTCCTTCATCAAAACCTCATTTGTTTCCTCCAAAACAGGACTTTTGTTGGCTGGGGAATTCACATATATTTTCTCACAATGGACAAAAATGAGGCTAGGCTTCTGAATGTCCTTAATTCTCATAGGTCACGGTAAACCTGCTCAAGGGTTGCTGAATGAGTTAACGGTTTGTTCTCAGCAGAAGGTCATAACCTATGAAAAGATATATGTGTGCACTAGTGGGATAGGTTTGAAGTGTGAGTTTGAATGCGTAGAGCATGGAGGGTGAGAACACAGGTGATGAGGTCAGTGGGCTGTGGTGGCCCCCGCTACTACCTTCTCTTGCTCTGGTAGCCTTGAGTTCATTGCTTAATCTCTAACTTTCAGTTATTTGGCATTAGATACTTCACATAATTCTTGTGTTCCTTAATATGTCCCAGAATTGTTATGGGGATAACTCTTAAATAATTTCTGAGATAAAATGTCAGTAAATACAGAAAAAGCATCCAACTCTTGATTTCAGCTCAGGTCATGATCTCATGGTTTGTGAGCTTGAACCCCACCTTGGGGCTCTGTCTGTACAGAGCCTGTTTGGGATTCTCTATCTCCCTCTCTCTCTGCCCTTCCCTTGTGCATGCTCTCTCTCTCTCTCTCTCTTCCCCCCACAAAAATAAGTAAATAATTAAATAAACATTTACAAAAAAGAAAAACATGTGAAATATTTGAAATTAAGGATTTCTTTCAACTGGAAGTATTTTTTAAAATGTTTTATTCTGAGAGAGAGAGAGAGATTGAGAGAGACAGCATGAGCAGGGGAGGGTCAGAGAGAGAGGGAGACACAGAATCTGAAGCAGGCTCCAGGCTCTGAGGTAGCTCTTAGCACAGAGCCCAATGCGGGGTTCGAACCCACAAACCGTGAGATCATGACCTGAGCCGAAGTTGGATGCCCAACCAACTGAGCCACCCAGGTGCCCCTCAACTGGAAATATTAAATGAACTAGAAATTTTCATCTAGTGAATATCTAAGAAATACTCTAACTGTGTTACAGTTTTCTTGGATAATAATCAAGTCAAACATTAAGGTTCTTTTAATTCCTACATTGACTGGAATTGAGAAGATCACATGGTTATACACATTATTTCTGTATAGCTTCTTTCAGTTGCTATGTGGCAATAATTGTTCCAGCCTTTTAATGATGCTTCATTAAATAAATAATATTTAGATTCTGATAATTGCTGCATCATTTGAGAAATATACAGATACATTCTCTGTGACAATTAGAAGGTAACTGTGCTGAGTTCCTTAGGTTTAGGCTTAATTAAATGGTATTGTCTTGGTTCTATTACTTCCAATTTCCTATTGTTCATCAGTAGCTTAACATAGCAGTTTTTTATTTTTTTATTTTATTTTTTTTAAATGTTTTATTTATTTCTAGGAGAGAGAGAGAGAGAGACATCATGAGCAGAGGAGGGTCAGAGAGAGAGGGAGTCACAGACTCTGAAACAGGCTCCAGGCTCTGAGCTGGCTGTCAGCACAGAGCCTGACGCAGGGCTCGAACCCATGAACCGCGAGATCGTGACCTAAGCTAAAGTCGGACACTTAACCGACTAAGCCACCCAGGCGCCCCAACATAGCAGTTTTTTAAACAGAGGGTTAATTCAAAGTTTTTCATGTTTTTGTTTTTCTTTGTTCTGTTTTTCTGTTATTTTTTTAATTGAAATTTTAACCTGAAGTTCAAACGTCATGTTGGGGAACAAGAAGAAGACACTAACTTGTGGATTGGATACTGTGCTTTTCACCTGGGTGACTACAAGAGAGCTTTGGAGGTTAGTAAAAAAAAAATATATATATATGTATATATATATGGGGCATCTGGGTGGCTCAGTCGATTGGGCATGGACTCCTGATTTCAGCTCAGGTCATGATCTCACAGTTGGTGATTTAAGTCCCCTATCAGGCTCTTCACTATCAGTGCAGATTCTTTGTCTCTCTTTCTCTCTTTGACCCTCCCCTGCTCATGCTCTCTCTCTCTCTTTCAAAATAAATAAAATAAAAGTTTAAAATTTTTAAAAATTATAACAGAAGGGTTTTGAAAAAGTTATTAAGCCCTGTATTATAATAATTCATGCTCTTCGAAAAATTCAAATACTACAGAAGGGAACAAAACAAAAGAAAAAAGTCATCCTGTCTGCCTTTCCCAATCCTCTTTCTTTGTTAACAGAGACAACCGTTGGCTCTTATTTGATGTATTGCTTCATAAATCTTTTATGTATGTTCAAGTGTATACGTGTATATATATACGTGTGTGTGTATCTTGTTTACTCTGCTTTTGCATATATACTAGTGAGATTGTTCAAATTATTTATATTAGTACTTTTGAAAATATATTTTAAATGTTTTTAATGTTTATTTATTTTTGAGACAGAGACAGAGTGTAAGCAGGGAAGAGACAGAGACAGAGGGAGACACAGAATCTGAAGCAGACTCCAGGCTCTGAGCCGTCAGCACAGAACCTGACATGGGGCTCGAACTCCTGGACGGTGAGATCATGACCTGAGCCAAAGTCGGACACTTAACTGGCTGAGCCACGCAGGCGCCCCTTAATACTAGTATTTCTTAAGGAAAGGAAAAAAAACCCTTTTGATAAAATTTCCATGATGCTTTTCTCAAAAGAAGCTCATTTTTATTTTGCTTGGTTAATTTTAGACATAGGAAAGATTATATTATCTTTATATTTCTGCAAGTACAGTTTTGAAAGTTGTTTTTCTTGGTCATTGTAAACAGTATCTAATGTGCAATCTATAGGATTATGAATGTAGATAAAATTTTAGATGCCATTAGTCAGTTTTTAAATCATAAATTATATTGTTTAAATAATTACCACATATTCTTACCCCCAAAGTATAATCTAAGGATATTTATAGAACCTGCATAACCAGAACAAAAGTGTCCAAGGTCAGGTAAAATGACAAACAGAAACAACAGGGGCGCCTGGGTGGCTCATTCAGCTGAGCAGAGGACTCAATTTCGGCTCAGGTCATGATCTCATGGTTTGTGAGTTCAAGCCCCACATCAGGCTCTGTGTTGACAGCATGGAGTCTGCTTGGTATTCATTCTGTCTCCCCCTCTCTCTGTCCCTCTCCTGCTTGCATACGCTGTCTCTCAAAATAAGTAAATATTTATTATAAATAAAGGAGTGCCTGGGTGGCTCAGTTGGTTAAGAGTCTGACTTCGGCTTAGGTTATGATCTCATGGTTCGTGAGCTCGAGCCTCATGTTGGGCTCTGTGCTGACACAGCTCAGAACCTGGAGCCTGCTTTGGATTCTGTGTCTCCCTTTCTCTCTGCCCCTCCTCCACTTGCACTCTGTCTTTCTCAAAAAACAAAACATTAAAAAACAACACAACAGTAACAACAACAAAATCAATTAGAACAAAGGGAAGATATGAAAAGGACAGAATAGAGGCTGGTGGTATCTGTGAAAGGTATAGAGGAGAGAGAGTAGTCCATATGTAGTAAGAAAAAGACGCAAAGACATCTGGTAAAGACTGGTAAATAGAGTATATGGAAAATGTGGTTGAAAAAGTGAATCTCAGAAGGTGTTCTTGGCAGGAAAAAAAGACCTTTTTAAAATACAAAGCCAAGGGGCCCCTGGCTTAATCAAGTTAAGCATCCAACTCTTTTTTTTTTTTTTTTTTTTTTTTTTTTAAATAGTTTATTGTCAAATCAGTTTCCACATAACACACCCAGTGCTCATCCCCACAAGTGCCCTCCTCCATGCCCATCCCCTCTCCCCCCACATCCATCAGTCCTCAGTTTGTGTCAGCATTCGAGAGTCTCTCTTGGTTTGCCTCTCTCCCTTTCCCCCATCATTTCCCCCCTTCTTCTCCCCCTTGTTCCTCAGTTAAGTTCCTCCTAATCCTCCTATACGTGCAAACATATGATATTTGTCCTTCTCTGCCTGACTTATTTCGCTCAGCATAACACCCTCAAGGTCCATCCGTGTTGCTATACATAAGCATCCAACTCTTGATTTCAGCTCAGGTCATGATATCAGGCTTGTGAGATCAGGCCCCACGTCAGGCTCTGCATTGAGCTGACAGCTCAGAGCCTGCTTCAGAGTCTTTCTCTCTGCCTCTCCCCTGTTCATGCTTGCATGCTTGCATGCTTTCATGCTCTCTCTTTCTCAAAATCAATAAGTAAATTTTTTAAAAATATAAAATAAAATATAAAGCCAAATGGGAGCACCTGGCTAGCTCAGTCAGTAGAGCATAGGACTCTTGATCTCAGGGTTATGACTTTTAGTCCCATGTTGGGCATGGAGCCCTACTTAAAAAAATAATGATAAAATAAATAAAATGTAAAGCTAAATAAACTAACCCAGAAAACAATTAGAATGAAACAATATTTGTAGTATATTAAGGTTATCAGATTTTAAGTTAACTGAACCTATACATTTCTTATAAGGTAGCTTTTTTTTTAAGTTTATTTGAGAGAGAGAGAGAGGGAGATTGGGAGAGGTGGAGAGAGAGTAAGAAACAGAATCCCAAGCAGGCTCTGCCGTGTCAGCAAAGAGCCCAACTCAGGGCTTGAACTCAGGAACCATGAGATCATGACCTGAGGCTGAGCTGAAATCAAGAGTTGGACACTTAACTGACTGAACCACCCAGGCACCATTGTGGTGATTTTTTTTTTTTTTTTAGTTAGCAAAAATAAAATACTTTAGTTACTCTTAGAGCTTTTAGTTTTAGTTTTGCAGTTTGTTAGCTCACAGATCCATGTTGAAAAGGGAAGAAAACAAGTTTAAGATTGTGTGGACAACAGCCCACATGGGTAGGATTGAGCAGTAGCTTCAGTCTGTTAACTTGCAGGTATAGACTGGTTGAGGAGCATATAGGATTCCCTACATGTGAAGTTGTCCCAATCTCAGGAAGAAATCCTATTCCATTAAAGAAGACTGGCTTATCCATTGCTTTACTGCTGAAATGAGACCCCTGCTTAATATATATTTCAGGAATATGAAAATGCAACAAAAGAGGAAAATTGTAATCCTGAAGTCTGGGTGAACCTAGCCTGTACCTACTTTTTTCTTGGCATGTATAAACAAGCTGAAGCAGCCGGATTTAAAGGTAAAATGCCCCCTCTTAATATCTAGTATTCATCTAGTATTTATTCACTAATGGTAAGTGTTATTTATGAGATTTTAAAACTGATTTAATTCCTTTTTCTTTTTTTAAAATTTATTATTTTGAGAGAGAGAGCATGTGCTTGCAAGCAGGGGAGGGGTAGAGAGAGAGGGAAAGAGAGAATCCCCAGCAGACTCTGCACTATCAGCACAGAGCCAAACATGGGGCTTGAACTCATGAACAGTGAGACCACGACCTGAGTGGAAATCAAGATTCAGACGCTCAACAAATTGAGCCACCCAGGAGCCCCAGTTCATTTTTCTACTGAAGAGAAACCAAGTACCATGATAAAACTAAAAACTAACTAAAATTAAAAAATACATAATAATTAAAAAAAAGAAAACTAAAAAATAGCTTTAGTCTTCAAAGAACATTGAAACTTAACTTTATGTTTAAAGAGAGAGTTAATCTCTGTGCTGCTTCCTCTCCCCCCACCTCCCCAGAAGCTGAAAGAAAAGGATGAGAGAAGCAAAAGGCAAATGAATCATCTTTCTTAAGCCCCATCATGGTAGGATGTTCATGTTGTTGTAGGAATTGGGGGTAGTTGTTTAAGCCCTTATGGATGTGGATTTTATAACTGTTTTCCCTGTTTCTCAATTAGAAGCCAAGTAATTTCTGCTTAAAGAATCCAGACTTGTTTTTGTTTGCTTGACCTGTCCTGACAGCCGTCTAAGAAGAACTAGGCATCAATTTGCAAATAAGAATAGGGCAAAGAGAAACAGGGGTGGAAAGATGAGGAATACTGACAGTATGTATCAGATTCAGTGTTTTATTATTTTATGTTTGAGAGAGAGAGCATGAGCGGGGAAGGGAGAGAGAGAGATAGAGGATTTGAAACAGACTCTGCACTGATAGCAGTGAGCCTGATGTGGGGCTCGAACTCATGAACCGTGAGATAATAGCCTGAGTGGAAGTCAGATGCTCAACCAATTGAGCCACCAGGTGCCCCTGAATCAAATTAAATTCAAAGAAATGTAGAGAAAGTGGTCAAGGGAACGTTTGTTATGAAATTTTTAGGGAAGAATATATTCCAGGGTAGAATTCTTAGAGAATTAACTGATAGATACATATTTAGGAAGAATTGCAGCTCAAGTTCATGGACAACGTGGAACTCGAAGCCTTTCTTGATTTGTACCCAAACTGAAATCCTATGCACTAATATAGTTTTTCTTAATGTTGTTATGAGGGCCTTTAAGTCACTTATTTTATCTTATGTTTTTAGATTTTATCTGTGAGAACAATATTAGATACATAGAATGTGATCAAGGTAGTTATCCTTTCCATGTAAGATTTTTTTAATACATTGAAGTATCATTTTTATCTGTAAAGAAATACAGGGCTAGGTATCTAGAATTGGGAAAATTCTCCAGCAGTGCAAAGGGGATTTGGAACTCAAAATGTATTACCCTTTTCTCTTGGTTGGCTATTTCAGCATGGCAGATTATCATGCTAGATTTATGGAGTAGAGATCGGGCTAGTATTTAAGAAAACGTGGCTGTATAATTGTGGAAAAGGAGATTTCGGAAGGAATTGACAAAGAATACTAGGAAGAACAGCTGAATGAGAGTGAATTCCTAATGAAATGAGATGAACATAGCTGCTTATTTCCAGTGTTTGAACAGTGTGTGAACAGCACAGCGGTAGGTTCTCCCAGAATTGTGTGTGGCATGCTGTGCTGGGACACCATGATAGAATCCAGTAGAACCAGTGCTGAGGAAGACTAGAACCTCACAACGATTTTTTTCCTGGCTCTTGATGCTATTCCCACTACTATAAGTAGAGAACAGACTAAAATAATATATGTTACAGTAGAGACATATCATGAGCACATAGGTAAGGATATGGGAAGTTTTACCTTCGTCTCATGTTATTCTGCAGGGACTAAGTGCCATTGACAATGAATAAGTAGCTTGAACTCTTTTTTTTCTAGCTCCAAAAAGCCGACTTCAAAATCGCCTCCTCTTCCACTTGGCTCATAAGGTATTTATGTTCTTATTTCACACTTGTTTTTTTGTTTTTTTTTAATTTCTAGGAGAGAGAGAGAGTCACAGACTGAAACAGGCTCCAGGCTCTGAGCTGGCAGTCAGCACAGAGCCCAATGTGGGGCTCGAACCCACGAACCGCGAGATCATGACCTAAGCAAAAGTCAGACGCTTAACAGACTAAGCCACCCAGGTGCCCCTCACACTTGTTTTTTTTAAAGTATTTTTTCTTCCCTCTTGTTAAAAACAGTGATGATAGATAATTTAAATTTTTTTAAAGTTTTATTTATTTTGAGAGAGAGTGTGTAAGCATGTGGAAGTGGGAGAGTGGCAGAGAGGGAGAGAGGGAGAGAATCCCAAACAGGCTCTGTGCTGTCAGTGCAGAGTCTGATACAGATCTGATACTAGAGATCATGACCTGAGCCAAAGTCCTTTGACTTTAACCAACTGAGCCACCCAGGCACCCCTGGTGAAAGATAATTACCTAGAAGTGCTTGTTAATGATATTTGTAGAACAAATAGAATATAGGTATTAATTTTATAGGATTTTCTTCCCCTTAATGTTCTTTACCCTATTAATTTATTAAGAGATGTTAGAGTTCAGTTTTTCTTTTCTTTTTTTTTTTTTTTAATGTTTTATTTATTTCTAGGAGAGAGAGAGACAGCGTGAGCAGGGGAGGGTCAGAGAGAGAGAGAGTCACAGACTGAAACAGGCTCCAGGCTCTGAGCTGGCAGTCAGCACAGAGCCCGACGCGGGGCTCGAACCCACAAACCGCGAGATCGTGACTTAAGCAAAAGTCGGACGCTTAACCGACTAAGCCACCCAGGCGCCCCCAAAAAAAGAAAATTTGACCATACAGAGGAATTTGGGGATTTTCAAATAAATGTCTCCTTTAAAATTTAGATTATGGAAATTTTCTCTTTTTAAATTTTTATTTTTTAATGCATTGTTTATTTTTTAGTTTAAAGAGGGAGAGAGGGATAGAGTGTGAGCTAGGGAAACACGCAGAGAGAGAGAGAGAGAGAGAGAGAGAGAGAGAGAGAGACTAAGCCACCCAGGCGCCCCAGAGTTCAGTTTTTCTTAAGTAGCAGTCATTTAAGATTAGTTTCTTTCTACTGCCCTATTGTCTCTTGGAAGCACACTCAAAGATACCTTGTATTCACTTCTAGAAATGCATATGCACTTTGCAAAATTGCCTTACAGCGAGAATTTTGGTCATCATCATGTTTTTCCAAATAATTTTCCATATTATAGAAGTTACACATTAATTCTATTAGACAAATGTAACTAAGCAAAAATTGAAAAAGGAAATAACTACCATGCTTAAAGGTAACAACATTTTAATCTTTTGGTATATCTTCTTTTAGGATAATTACTTTTTATATGCATATGTATATTTTTGTTCATTTGTTTTGCAAGAGTGAGACTCATGCTGAATATATATTTTTATATTCTGCTTTTTTTCCTACTTATCCTTATAATGAGCATATCCTTGAGTCACAAATAGTCTTTAAGACTGTAACTTTTTTTTGTGTGTGTGTGGTTTAATGTTTTTATTTACTTTTGAGAGAGAGCAGCACAGAGTAGAAGCAGGGAAGAGCAGAGAAAGAGGGAGACACAGAATCCGAAGCTGGTCCAGGATCTGAACTGTCAGCACAGAGCCCAATGTTGGGCTCAAACTCATGAACGTTGAGATCATGACGTGGACCACAGTCAGATACTTAACTGACTGAGCCACCCAGGCGCCCCAAGACTGTAACTTAAAAAAAAATTTTTTTTTATAACATTTCATTGTGTTGGGGCGGCTGGATGGCTCAGTCAGTTGGGCTCCCGACTTTAGTTCAGGTCATGATCTCACAGCTTGTGGTTTTGAGCCCCGCATTGGACAGCGTGGAGCCTGCTTCACATTCTGTATCTCCTTTCTCTCTGACCCTCCCCTCCTCATGCTGTCTCTCTCTGTCTCTCAGAAATAAGTAAAACAGGGGCGCCTGGGTGGCTTAGTCAGTTGAGTGTCCGACTTTCGCTTAGGTCATGATCTCGCGGTTCGTGGGTTCGAGCCCCGCTTCGGGCTCTGTGCTGACTGCCAGCTCAGAGCCTAGAGCCTGTTTCAGAGTCTGACTCCCTCTCTCTCTGACCCTCCCCTGCTCACGCTGTCTCTCTCTCTCTCTCTCCTAGAAATAAATAAAACATTAAAAAAAAAAAACGATTATCGAAATGGCAGCCTTGTCCCCTTGTAGTGGCTGCTTAAAAAAAAAAAAAAAGAAAGAAGTAAAACATTAAAAAATTAAAAAAAAAACCATTTCATTGTGCCATGTGTCATAATTTAACAATTCCTAGTTATTTGACTTTTAGATTATATTTATATATTTATTTATTTATTTTTACATTTTTAATACTTACATTCCATTCCCTGTGATCCTCACAAGTGAACTCCTTAATCCCCATCACCTATTTAACCCCCCATCCACCTCCCCTCTGGTAACCATCATTAAGAATCTGTTTCTTGGTTTGCCCCTCTCTCTCTTTTCTGTGCTTATTTGTTTTGTTTCTTAAATTCCACATATAAGTGAAATCATATGGTATTTTTCTTTCTTTGACTGACTTGTTTCTTTCTTTGACTGACTTGTTTTGCTTATTTGTTTTGTTTCTTAAATTCCACATATAAGTGAAATCATACGGTATTTTTCTTTCTTTGACTGACTAGAGATAATACTCTCTAACTCCATCCCTATCATTGCAAATGGCAAGATTTCAAATTTTTTATGGCTAAATAATATTCCATTGTAAATACATACCATATCTTCTTTATCCATTCATTAGTCAGTGGGCATTTGGATTCTTTCCATACTTTGGCCATTGTAGATAATACTGCTATAAACATCGAGGTGCGGATATCCCTTCGAATTAGTATTTTTGTATTCTTTGGGTAAATACCTGGTAGTGCAATTGCTGGATCGTAGGGTGGTTCTATTTTTAACTTTTTGGGAAACATCCATACTGTCTTCAGAGTGGCCACACCAGTTTGAATTCCCAGGAACAATGTAAAAGGGTCTCCCTTTATCCATATCATTACCAACACCTGTTGTTTCTTGTCTTGTTAATTTTATTGTGTGAGGCCAGCATTACCCTGATACCAAAGCCAGATAAAGATTCCACTAAAAAGGAGAACCACAGGCCAATATCCCTGATGAACATGGATATAAAAATTCTTAATAAAATACTAGCAAACAGGGATGCCTGGGTTGTTCAGTCTGTTAAGCGTTCTACTTCGGCTCAGGTCATGATCTCATGGCTCATGAGTTTGAGCCCCACGTTGTTGGGCTCTGTGCTGATGACTCCGAGCCTGGAGCCTGCTTCAGATTCTGTGTTCTCTCTCTGCCCCTCCCTCATTCATTCTCTTTCTCTCTGTCTCTCAAAAATAAATAAACATTCAGAAAAAAAAATACTAGCAAACCAAATCTAACAGTACACGTAAAGACTCATTCACCACAATCAAGTGGGATTTATTCCTGAGCTGCAGGGATGGTTTAGTAGTTGCAAATCACTCAATGTGATATACCACATTAATAAAACAGGATAAGAATAGATGACCATTTCAATAGGTGCAGTAAAAGCATTTGACAAAGTACATCATCCATTCATGATAAAAACCCTCAACAAAGTAGGGTTAGAGGGAACATATCTCAGCATAATAAAAGCCACATGCAAAAAACCCACAGCTAATATCAATCTCAATGGGGAAAAACAGAACTTTTCCTCTAAGGGCGGGAACAGGACAGGGATGTCCACTCTCACCACTGTTATTGAACATAGTACTGGAAGTTCTAGCCTCAGCAATTAGACAACAAAAAGAAATAAAAGGCATCCATATTGACAAAGAAGAAGTAAAACTTTAACTATTTGCAGATGACATGATACTTTATATAGAAAACTTGGTTAAAAAAAAACCCATTAAGACTCCACCAAAAAATTGCTAGAACTGATACATGAATTCAGTAAAGTCACAGGAAACAAAAATCAACCTATAGTAATCTGTTGCATTTCTATACACCACTAATGAAAGAGCACAAAGAGAAATCAAGGAATCAGTCCCATTTAGATTGTTTTATTTATTTATTTTTCCACTTAGATTGTTTTAATTTTAATTACAAAAATGTTATTTTGAACATTCTAGAAATGAGCTCATTGAGTTAACTGAATTTGAACAACTTTAAAGCTTTTCATTGATATTGCTAAATTATTTTACACAAAGTTTATCAAATCACCCATAGGCAATATATGAAAATAATTATTTGTGTATTTAAAAATATCACAGTATAATTATCTATCTCTCTGTTTAGTTCTTACAATTTTTGTTTACATGTTTTCCAGACTCTATCATTAAGTGGATACAAATTTAGAGTTGTTATATCTGTCTAGTGGATTAAAACATCATTATGAAATGCCTCTCTTTACCTCTAGAAATTCCTCTTCACATAAAGTCTACTTTGTCGTATTTGTATAATTACACTGTTCTCTTTCATATAGTATTTGTCTATTATGTCTCTTGACATACTTTTAAACTTTCTATCTTACTGTGTGTTTATATTTTTAAAAAATGTTTATTTTTGAGAAAGAGAGAAACAGAATGCGATTAGGGTAAGGGCAGAGAAAGGGGGAGACAGAATCTGAAGCAGGCTCTGAGCTGTCAGCACCGAGCCTGATGAGGGGCTCTGGCCCATAAACCAAGAGATCATGATCTGAGCTGAAATTGAACCCTTAACCGACTGAGCCACTCAGGCTCCCCATGTGTCTTTATATTTTAAAATGTCTCTCTTGTCAACAGCAAATGAAAGCAATAAAAAGACATAGAAAAAAGAAAAGGGAGAAAAAAAAATAGGAAATAGGAAGGGGGTGATTATTACCTGTGACTTACAGGCATTCCATTGTCAAGGCTATGCTTCCAGAGGCTGTTTTCATTCTTTCTCTGAAGGAGAGAGAGGAGAAGATCAGGAACTGAAGGGAAATAGGGAGAACAGAGAGACAAGACGGCTGAAGAAGGCGTTAAAATCTCTGTACCGTAGGTGTTGATTACCTGTTCTCTAATGTGAATCTTTTCGTGTCTTTTTCCCTCTGACAATTTTAGTTTAATGATGAGAAGAAGTTGATGAACTTCCATCAGAATCTTCAGGATATCACAGAAGATCAACTCAGTTTGGCCTCAATCCACTATATGCGATCTCACTACCAAGAAGCCATTGATATTTATAAACGAATACTACTAGATAACAGGTCTGTGCCCTTTTATGTCTATTCAGAATCTCATTCTGTTAGTTTTTTCTGGAACCAATTTGGCTGAGGACCTAGTATGGTCTCGATCTATTATCACCATATGTTCAAATCTGTTTAGCTAACAATCTGGTCACATTAAGAACTCCTTATTCTCCAGATCAGGATTTCTCCACCTTTATTTCGTTATCACCCTTCCATGGAGCCTTTTTGGACTTCTTTTCTCTCCAACTGACTTCTTATGAAATGTTAAAACCACAGATATACTGTGTGTCCATTTACACATCAAACGTGTATCTATGCTTTATATATAAAATGAGTATAATTTTCTATTTCTTCATAAGAAATTTTAACCCTTTGGGGATGATATGGTCCCATTTCAACATTGTATTACATTGTAGGTAACTTTCTGACAAAATTAGAAATAAACCGTTCCAGAGAATTAACATTCCAACTTTTATCTCCTACTTCCCCAAAATACCTCATCCACCTGCCTTTTCCCTTTTTGCTTTACCCGCATCCACCCATTCCCCCCTCAGTCATTGAGTCTGCTTGTTTGTGTGTCTGTCTCTGTACCGCATATGTTCACTTACGGTTTTGCCCAGTTACAGTGTACATTAGTTTCATTTTTTTTTAAACATGAACCAGTAGGAATTGAATGTTTCCCTTTTTCCCTTAGTCATCATCTTTCATTCTACTTAAAACACCCAAATATTACAATAGAAAAGAAAAATATCACACTCATGATATCTTGCTTGCTTTCTTCAGAAGGCAAATTCATGTCTTCTCTGCCTGGCTGTCCATTTGAACCATTAAAAAGTCTTTGTAGTTTGACATCATTTCTCTGAAGTAGACTTAAACTGTTAACCCTTAATTCTTTCATCTAATAGGGAATACCTGGCCCTCAATGTGTATGTGGCCCTGTGTTACTACAAGTTGGATTACTATGATGTGTCTCAGGAAGTTCTGGCAGTTTACCTTCAGCAAATTCCTGATAGCACCATCGCACTCAACCTTAAGGCCTGTAATCATTTTCGCCTTTACAACGGCAAAGCAGCTGAGGTAGTGATGGAGACTTGTTTCTAATTTATTTAATTTCAGTTTGAATTTTAATTACACTTTATGGGTTAGTCATAAGACTCTATTACCTGTAACACTGGATTAATATCCCTTTGTTATTGCCAGGTTGAGTCTATAAGAACCAATTATATAAATATTTATAGTGATTCAATATTCTAAAAAAATGTTGACTTCTGAATTCTCTATGTCTAATATACTGTAGATGATCTTTACTTAGATGCTTTACCTTAAGTTAAATATGTCAAAACCAAACAGTTCTGCTTCTTCTCCTAAAATATTTTTGTGGCCTTGTGGTTCATTGTCACCAGCATGTAAATCACATCACAAACCTAGGATTTCCATCAGTCTTTTTCTTCCTCCCTCATCTACTCATCTACCACTTCCTATAAGTTCTGCATCCTAGGTATCTCTTTGATCTGTCTTTTCTCCTCTGCCCCTGCTTTAGTCTGGGCACTCCTCATCTTTCTTATTTAGGTTTTTTTTAATTCCCCTGCCTCTAGCCTTGTCTTCTCCAGTCTAGCCACTGACCTCGTTCCACACACCTTAACTCTGCTACTCTCAGAGCTTTGCATGTAACATTCTCATTTTCTTGGATGCCTTATTCTGCGTGGTACAATTCAGTGTCTCTTTTAGGATTATCCCAAGAGGCAATACTGGTAAACATTTTATAAATACTTAGAAATTGTGGGCACCTGCTGGCTCAGTCAGTAAAGCATGTAACTCTTAATCTCTGGGTCATGAGTTCAAGCCCCACATTGGGCATGAAGCCTATTTAATAAATATATATTAGGAGCACCTGGGTGGCTCAGTTGGTTGAGCCTCCAACTCTTGATTTTGACTTAGATCATGATCTCACAGTTTCATGAGTTCAAACCCTGCATGGCCTCTCAGCTGACGGTGCAGAGCCTGCTTGGGATTCTCCCTCTTTCTTTGCCCCTCCATCACTCAAACTCTCTCTACCTCTCTCAAAATAGATAAAGTAATTAAATTTTTTTAATTAAAAAAAAGGAAATTTAGAAATTGGGTAACTTAAAGGCACTATGCAAAGTGCTTGTTATATATTTTCCCTTATAATCCTATAGATAAAATCTGTTATAGCATCTTTTTTTCTTTTTCTTTTCTTTTTCTTAATGTTTATTTATTTTTGAGAGAGAGAGAGAAAGAAAGAGAGACAGAGGGTGAGCAGGGGAGGGGCAGAGAGACACACAGAATCAGAAGCAGGCTCCAGGCTCCGAAATGTCAGCAGAGAGCCTGATGCAGGGCTTAAACCCATGAGATGGGAGATCATGACCTGAGCCAAAGTCGGATGCTCACCTGACTGAGTCACCCAGGCGCCCCTGTTATAGCTGTCTTTACATAGGAAACTGAGAGTACCTAGGAAGCCATACATGGGACTTCCTTTTATTTAACACTCTACACAAACACACATACATATACACACATATAGAGAGGGAGAGAGGGCATATTCTATACTATATCTATTAACAGATATTTATTTATTTATTTACATAATATATATGGTTTTCTTTTTAAGATTTTATTGTTTTATTTTTTTTAAATTTTTTTTAATGTTTTATTTATTTCTAAGAGAGAAAGAGAGAGAGACAGTGTGAGCAGGGGAGGGTCAGAGAGAGAGGGAGTGACAGACTCTGAAACAGGCTCCAGGCTCTGAGCTGGCAGTTAGCACAGAGCCCGACACGGGGTTCGAACCCCTGAACCGTGAGATCATGACCTAAGCGAAAGTCGGACGCTTAACCGACTAAGCCACCCAGGCGCCCCTAAGATTTTATTGTTTTAAAGTAATCTCTACATACAACCCCGAGATCAAGAGTCACACATTCCACAGACAGCCAGGTGCCCCTATACAGCTAATTTTTAGGTTAACTGTATGAGGGAGGCCATGCTTGGAAATTACCTCCTCAGCCATTATTTTAGTTGGTGTCAGAAGCTGCCAAAATTCAGATGTAAAATTTGTGCATGTGACAAAATTTCAAAATCCCACCCTTGCCCAGAACATAGTTCCATCTGACATCGTGCCACTGGGGGAGGAGGGAAGGGAACTGAAACCAGCAAACTGACTATATCGAAGCAAAATTCACCGTGAAAACGCAACAGCAAGGAACATTATTAATGTGCTTTAGCTGACAGTAGAGTCAACTCCTGAGTGACCCCATGTTCAGTAATTGTGGGAGAGGCGAGGAGCACTGTTTGTGGTTTATGTTGATAAAAAGGGGTCTGTTGCGGCGATACAGATGCCCACACTTCATCTGTTTAGTATCCACTGAGCAGTCCATTTACATGTCATGTAAAATGTGTTCTGGGGTGTGCTTATTTCAACCAAATAGTCCCTGTAGTCGGCCTAACTGGCTGGTATCCAGCATCAGCAGTTTAATAGTAAGCTGGTTTGCAGTTCAATCTCTTTAGGGTTTATGGCCTTTGGTAAGAACAAATAAATGAAATATATCCTCACCTTTCTACCTTGAGTTAACCTTGGGGACCTTCCCAATTTTTTCTAGTCTATTAAATGTTTACATTTTATCTGCATGTGCTGTCTCCGTAGTCTGGTGCGGGTAGCATGGCTAACCAGTACTCTGTCAGTCCAGCATTATCCAAGCCAGGACACTGAGCTGCATCTTGTGTCTCCAAAAGGCATGCTTTTTCATTTGAAATTGTGTCTGTACAGTTTACATATTAATTTTATAATGTATCCAGCAGTAGATGACTATGTCAAATGTACCCTGACAAGCTTTGGGCAGGGGGAGCTTTAGCTGTTTGTGTTTACTTATAATTTTATTAAACCATTTAAAAATAAGGCATTCCTCTAGTAAGTTGTATAATGGGTTCAACCTTATGTGGTTCATTCTATGAACACTAGTAGCATTCTACTCTTCTGTAGTAAGCATGACATAATCTGTAATGATTCACTTAATTTTTAAAGTACTTTGAATAATCGGCCCAAAGTTTTAAAATAAGTGACGAATTCAGGTCTCAAACTCATGTTTGACTGACTCTAAAGCATAGGCTTAACTGCAGTTTCAGATGTACTTTCTTCTTAGCTCTTATATGTGTTTATCTATAGAGAGACACTATCATGTGTACTATTTGGTAGTTGCCTAATTATCTTTAATCTAGACAAGCTTATTGAGGATTGAAACTGTCTTTTGATATTTGCATCCTTGTACCTGACATAAAGCACACGTAAAGTTGGTGTCAACTAAGTATATTGGTTGAATGAGTCAAACTTAAGGTATGACTTAGAAATTAAGGGACAATCATGTTCAAAGAAGGAGGAGCTTCAAAAGAGGTCAATAATGATGAAGACTGAGAAGAGACCATTGGGTACCATAACTAGGATTTCCTACAGTTACCTACTCTGATGATTAGCATATCATGATCATTGGGGGTTGGATCTAGATGACAAGGAGTTGAGAAGTGGGTGAGTAATCGCTTGGATTGGAATTTGTCATAAAAGGTATGACAGAAGGATGACAGATAATGAAACAATAGAAGCAATGAATATAAGATGCTGATGGAAGGAAGAAGAATGCTAGTTTCAGAGGATAAAGACTTAGAAGAACTTTTCCCCCCAAACTGGGAAGACTTCCAGGGTAGTGGTTAAGAGCAGGAGCTTTGAAATCAGATAGACCCAAATTCCACTCCTAGGTGACAGCTGTGTGGCCTTCGGTGAGCTACTTAACCTCCTTAAAGATCACCTGCAAAATAAGGAAAGTAATTGACTTATTATAGGCTGCTGTGAAGATTAAGTGATATGATGTATGTAAAGTCCCTAACTTGATGTACATGGTAAACTCTCAGTAAATATTCACATTTATCAAAGATTTTGGGGGTGCCTGGGTGGCTCAGTTGGTTAAGTGTCTGACTTCAGCTCAAGTCATGATCTTGCAATTGGTGGGTTTGAGCCCTGCATTGGGTTCTCTGCTGGCAGCTCAGAGCCTGGAGTCTGCTTCAGATTCTATGTCTCCCTCTGTCTCTGCCCCTCCCCTGCTCATGCTCTCTCTCTGACTCAAAAATAAATAAACTATTAAAAAATTAAAAAAAAAGATTTTATAGGCAGAAACTTTGTCAAAGCTATCTTTTTCTTTATATTTGATGCTTTCTCTATTTTGTTTAAGAGGATTTCCTGGGTCAAGATCATATTCTCTGGTATTATCTTCTAAAATACATTGGTTTTGCCTTTTTCAAATCTAAATTATCTATAATTACATATATATTTTTATTTTTTAAGATTTTTAAAATAAACATTTATTTTGAGAGAGAGAGAGAGAGAACATGAGCAGGAGGGAGCAGAGAAAGAGGGAGAGAGAGAATTCTAAGTAGGCTCATGTGGTCAGCCTAGAGCCCAACATGGGGCTCAAACCTATGAGCTGTGAGATCGTGACCTAACCTGAAGTCAGAACCTCAGCTGACTGAGCCATCCAGGTGCCCCAAAGATTTTATACTTTTTAAGTGGGCTCAAACTCATGACCCCAAGACCAAGAGTTACATGTTCCACCAACTGAACCAGTCAGGCACCCCTAATTTTATGTGTATATATATATACATATATATATATAAATTATATTATATTATATTTAAAAGGTTTAATTTCTCAATTAAAGATTGGCAAATTAGATTTTATATATATATATAAATATATAAATTATATTATATTTAAAAGTTTAATTTCTCAATTAAAGATTAGCAAATTAGATTCAAAAGAGTAAACCCAAATATATGTTTTAAATATAAGGGCACAGAACATTTGAATGTAAAAAGATATGTTTCATGTAGAATATTTCCTCTTTTAATTTATTAAAAAATTTTCTTAATTTTTAATTTGAGAGAGAGAGTGGGGGAGGGAAGAGAGAGAAGGAGAGAGAGAGAATGAGAATATTAAGCAAGCTCCATGCTCAGCCTGGAACCTGACACGGGGCCCAATCCCATGACCCTGGGATCATGACCTGAGCCGAAATCAAGAGCTCGATGCTCAACTGACTGAGCTACACAGGCACCCCGAATGCAGAATATTTCTGACATGGTTTCTGTCATTGCTGTCATGCTTCTAGAAAGGTCATTTTCGCTCTAACATGGATAAGATGACCCTTGTCTTCTAGATTTATTTTTTTTTAACAACTTCATTGAGATTTAAGGCATAGGCCATATACTGCACCCTTATTAACTGTACAATTCATTTGTTTTTAGTATATTCACAGATACGTGCAATCACCACCACAGTTTTAGAACATTTGCATCACCTCAAAAATAAATGCCTCTTAGCTATCAGTCCCTGGCTTCTCATTCCCCTGACCCAGGCAGTTACTAATCTGCTCTCTGTCTCTAGAGACTTGCCTGTCCTGTATATTTCATACAAAAGGAGTCATATAATACGTAAACTTTTCTTTAAGTGTTTATTTGTTTTTGAGAGAGAGAGCAAGTGAGCAGGAGAGGGGCAGAGAGAGGGGGAGACAGAGGATCTGAAGCAGGCTCTGCATTTTGTGAGCAGACTAACGATGCAGAGCTCAAACCACCAACAGTGAGATCATGACCTGAGGGGAAGTCGGACACTTAACCAACTGCGCCACTCAGGCGCCCCAGTATGTGAACTTTTATGACTATCTTCTTTACTTAGCATACTGTTTATAAAGTTCATCACTCTGTAGCATATATTAGTATTTCATTAGTTTTTATGACCAAATAATATTCTATTGGGTGGATGTACTTCATTTTATTTTGCCATTCATCAGCTGATGGACATTTGGGTTGTTTCCGCTTTCTGCCTATTATGAATAATGCTGTTATAAGCATTTGTGTACATGTTTTTGGGCATGTTTTGGACCTGTTTCCATTTGTCTTCTAGAAAGAAAGGGTATATGCCTAAAGGAGGAATTGCTGGGTTATATGGAACTCTCTCTAATTGAGGGACCGCCAGACTGTTTCACAAAGTAACTGTACAAGTCTACATTCCCACCAGCCATATATAGGAGTTTCCATTTCTCTATATCCTTGCCAACAGTTATTATCTGACCTTTTTATGCTAGCCGTCACATTGAATGTGAAGTGGAATCTCATTGTGGGTTTGCTTCTCTGATGACTAATGGTGTTGAACATCTTCCCGTGTACACTGAGTGCTGCTTTAAATCCTGTGCCCTAGGCACCTCGCTTGCCTGACGCTGAGTTCTGGCTGGCCCTGTCTGAATCAGAACTATCCTCATCTTACTAAAAGATTTTCTTTTTTCACTTTCATTTGTTCAAGTGTGCACTGAAGTTTCCCAGAAATAACGTGATTTCAAAATAGATAAATGCAGATACAGACATGCCAATCTAGCTGTCCTCTTTTAAGCCTGACATGAAAGAGATTTGCAGAAATTTATAAAACAGTACTACTCTTCTCACTAAATTTTTGCATTAGTAAATGTAGTTTTTTAAAAATTTATTTATTTTGAGAGAGAGAGAGACAGCATGGGTGGAGAGGGCAGAGAAAGAGGAGACACAGAATCCGAAGCAGGCTATGCTTCAGACGTTCAACTGACTGAGCCAACCAGGTGCCTCTAAATGCAGTTTTTATTTTATTTTATTTTTTTAATTTTTTAAAAAAAAATTTTATTTCTAGGAGAGAGAGAGAGAGAGAGACAGCGTGAGCAGGGGAGGGTCAGAGAAAGAGGGAGTGACAGACTCTGAAACAGGCTTCAGGCTCTGAGCTGGCAGTCAGCACAGAGCCTGACGCGGGGCCGGAACCCACGAACAGCGAGATCATGACCTAAGCGAAAGTCGGACGCTTAACCGACTAAGCCACCCAGGCGCCCCATAAATGCAGTTTTTAAAAATGTTTATTGGGGTGCCTGGGTGGCTCAGTCGGTTAAGTATCCGACTTCAGCTCAGGTCATGATCTCGCAGTTCATGGATTCAAGCCCCGCAGCGGGCTCTGTGCTGACAGCTCAGAGCCTGGAGCCTGTTTCAGATTCTGTCTCCCTCTCTCTCTGACCCTCCCCTGCTCACTCTGTCTTTCTTTCTCCCTCTCTCAGAAATAAATTGGCCCTGGGTGGCTCAGTTGGTTGAGTGTCTGACTCTTGATTTTGGCTGAGATCATGATCACGGGGTTATGGGATCGAGCCCCACATCAGGTTCTGTGCTTAGCATGGAGCCTGCTTAAGATACTCTCTTTCTCTCCCTCTCTCTCTCTCCCCGCTTCTTTCTGCTTCTCTCCCCTACTTGTTCTCTCTCTGTCTCTAAAATAAATTTTTTTTAATTTAATTATTTTGTCCCAAAAAGCTTAGCTACTTACTGATGGAAGTAAAAAAGGAGGAGAGGAAGATTACTCAAAATTATAGATTGGCAAGTCAGGAGCAATAGAAAGCTGAGGAAGGGCTAAGGGAATCCAGGGCGTTAGTGAAGATGCTAGAAATGGTTGACCATTTGTTCTATGGGAAGCTAAAGAGGTGAGAGAATACAGAAGAGATCTGATAGGTCTAATAAATAATAGGAGAAGGTATTTTAATTATGGTATGTTAATAAAGACCAATTCAGCAGGAAGGAGGTACTCTGAGAGTTCAGGATACAGGTGAAATGACCAGATTGGAGAATCAACCTCAGTTGTGAAAAGCTTAGCTCCTTTATCACCTTTGGCTCTGCAAAGTAGAATTCTTCAGACTTGGGTTTACCAGTTTCAAACTTGCTGCTTATTGGAAAATTCCAGTCATTTAATGTTTATAAGACTCCATGTTCTCATCTGTAAAATGATAATAATCACACTGATTCTCAGAGTCCTGAGAAACAAATGAAATAGTATGTTAAATTCTTTGTAAACTATAAAACATTGTAAAAATATGTGGTATAAGAACCATATATGAGAAACAAATGAAATATTGTGTTAAATTCTTTGTAAACTATAAAATATAAAAATATGTGGTATAAGAACTGTACACATGTTGTTTTCCTAAGCCTTTCCTTTTTCAATTTCAGGCAGAACTCAAAAGCTTGATGGACAGCGCTTCTTCTTCCTTTGAATTTGCTAAAGAACTCATCAGGCACAATCTGGTGAATAGCAGTTTCATCTTGACTGAATTGAGTCCTATCCTACTTTGGTATATCACAGCAGTTAGAAGGATATGCGAAGGGAGATATTGCCACAAATACTTCTCTACTCCAAGTGAACTCCTCCTTGCTATGGGGGAGATATGAGGTCTTTTCCTCAAGGAAACCCCTACTGGGAGGGCAGTAATACATATATAATATTTAGAAAGAAGTGCAAGGCAGTAGAGGTCTAAGGGTTCATTTTGTTGGCCAAGACCAAGGAACATCTATCTTTGTGGATTACAGCTAATGGATTTTCTGGTGAGAGTCAAACTCAAGTTCATCTTTGAAAGATGGTTGAGATTTAGAGAGTTCACTGGAGGCAAAGATATGGAGTTAGAGCAGAGATGGCAGGTGTAAAATGTTGTGAGCAGATTGAGCTTACCAGAACAGAAAGTGTGCACTGGGGCATGGTGCAAAGTAAAGTCTTAGTGAAAAAGTAAAGAGGTGGTCTGATTTAAGGCAGGATTATGATGGCCATTGATAAAAACAATGTTCAAATTCAGATGAAGTTTGATTCTGTTGACCAGCAATACAGTGGGTACAGAGCAGCAGTTTTCAACCCAGACACCTGGAGACACTGAGCAAATTGTGTAATTTTGCCAAATTTCAGGTTCCTCATCTAAAAACAGCAGTGATAATAACTATGCCTTTTCTTTCTGATTATTCTTTTTTTAACACCAAATCTCCCTAGTACGCATGCTAAACACCCTAACTGCTTTAAACTCTCTCCTCCCCTTTCTCTCTGATATCTACTTGGTCACTTAATCCTATTGATTCTTTTTTGGCAATGTCTTCTATTAATTCCATTCCTTTTCTAGTTCAAGCCTCTACCACAGATAGAACTTTCTCTGGATAGTTTCTCTTATTAGCTTCTGCCCCTTTTCACTTCTTGTCTAGTTTATCAACTTAATTTTTGTGCAGAATGATGTGTTAGAGATAGTAGTCTGGAAATCAAGCTTGGAGAATAGGTTTAGGAGTTTGGTAAAAGAAAAGATAGCCAAAGTCCTAACAACTAAACATGGAAGAAAGGATTAAAAGCAGAGAAAAATATGGTCCAAGAGAGCATGTGTATTTAAGGAGCTTTTCTTAAAAGCTTCCCAGATGGATATAATGTACAGCCAGAGTAAAAAACTACCGTATGTATATATGACTGGGAGGGGTCATCCAGCTAGTCAATAGGGATTCGTTTCTGAGAGCGGGATTAAAGACAGAAATGAGAATACGGAAATTTTCCTTTTTCCTTTTGTAATATGTAAGTTTTCCCCCATTGAACGTATAATACTTTTATAGTTTAAAACAAAGCCTAAAAATATTACGCAATATAAATAGTTGTTATGAGCAGTGGCTTTTGTGGTCAGACTTGAGGTCAAAATCCGTCTATTCCTTGCACTAGCTTTGGACCTTTGGGTGAGTCACTTAGCATTGCTGAGACTCAGTGTTCTCATGTGTGCCACAGGGGAAATTACAGGACCTACCGTATTTTCTTGTGAGGACCAAATGAGGTAATGTGTGTAAGATGCTTTGTGTATAGTAAGCATTTAGTAAATCGGGTCTTTGTGATCACGCTATGGCCATCAGTCCAAACTGCAGAAACATCACTGGGCAAGAGACAGAAGAGTCCATCGAATTTGATTAGAGGGTTTAATTTGGGACTTGTGAGAGTAAGTTTACAAGTGTGCTAAGAGCCAGAGGTTAAAGAGTAAGAGGGTAATAAAGTTGAAGCAGTAAAGGGACTTCAAAAGTGTGTGGCACTGAAAGAAAGAGAAAAGCAAGATCCAGGTCGAGTAAAAAGTCGTGAGATCCATGGATTAGGAGAACAAATGTTAAAATGTCCATACTGCCCGAAGCGACTCATATATGTACTGCAGTCCCTTTCAAAATACCAACAGCATTTGTCACAGAACCAGAACAAATAATCCTAAAATGTGTACGGAACCATAAGAGATCCCAAATAGCCAAAGTAATCTTGAAAAAGAAGAACGAAACTGGAGATATCACAATCCCAGATTTCAAGATATACTACAAAGCTGTAGCGGTCAAAATAGTATGGTACTGGCATAAAAATAGACACAGATCAATGGAACAGAAAAAAAAGACCAAAAATGAAGCCACAATTATATGATCAATTAGTCTTCAACAAAGGAGGCAGGAATATGCAGTGGGAAAAGACAGTCTTTTCAACAAATGGTGTTGGGCAAATTGATGCAAAAGAATGAAACTGGACCATTTTCTTACACCATACACAAAAATAAACTCAAATGGATTAAGAACTTAAATATGACACCTGAAACCATAAACATCCTAGAAGAGAACACAGGCAGTACTTTCTCTAACATTGGCCGTAGTAGCATTTTTCTAGATATGTCTTCTGTGGCAAGGGAAACAAAACAAAAATAAACTATTGGAACTACATCAAAATGAAAAGTTCTGCCCAGCCAAGGAAACAATCAACAAAACAAAAAGGTAACCTGCAGAGTGGGAAAAGATATTTGCAAATGACATCTGATAAGGGGTTAATATCCAAAATGTATAAAGAACTTACACAACTTGCAGTGACTGGGTGGCTCAGTTGGTTAAGTGTCTGCCTCTTAATCTCAGCTCAAGTCATGATATCACAGTTAGTGAGTTTGAGCCCCATATGGGGCTCTGTTGGACGCACATAGCCTGATTGGAATTCTTTCTCTGTCTCTCTCTGCCCCTACTCCACTTGTGCTCTTTCTCTCTCTTAAAACAAAAACAAAAGCAAAAAACAAAAAAAAAAAAACCTTATAAAACTCAACACCAAAAAACCAATCCAATAATTAAAAATGGGCAGAAGACATGAATAGACATTTCTCCAAAGAAAATGTCCAAATTGCCAACAGACATGAAAAGATGCTCAGCATCACTCATCATCAGGGAAATGCAAATCAAAACCACAATGAGATATCACCTCACACCTACTAGAATGGCTAAATCAAAAGCACAAGAAATCAGTGTTGGTGAGAATGTGGGAAAAGAGGAACCCTTATGCACTGTTAATGGGAATGGAAATTGGTGCAGCCACTGTGGAGAAGAGTATGCGGGTTCCTCAAAAAATTAAAAATAAAATTACCATGTGATCCACTAATTCCACTGCTGGGTATTTATCCAAAGAACATGAAAAACATATAAATATTCAAAAATGTATATGTACCCCTATATTTATTGCAGCATCATTTACAATAGCCAAATTATGGAAACAACCCAAGTGTCCATCAGTAGATGGAATGGATGAGGAAAAGGTGGTGAGGAAAAAATACAACGGAATATTTCTCAGCCATAAAAAGAATGAAATCTTGCCATTTGGGATAATATGGACAGAGCTAGAGTGTATAAAGCCAAATAAGTCAGTTAGAGAAAGACAAATACCATATGATTTCAGTCATCTGTGGAATTTAAGAAATAAAACAAATGAACGAAGAATAAAAGAGACCAGCCAAAAAACAGACTCTTGACTATAGAGAACAAATAGATGGTTACAAGAGGAAAGATGAGTAAGGGGATAGTTGAAATAGGTGAAAGGGATTAAGACTAACTTGTCACAATGAACACTGAGTAATGTATAGAATAGTTGAATCACCATATTGTACACCTGATGTTAACTGTACTAGAATTATTATTTTTTTTGAAGTCATAAAATCAAGAAAACAGATGAAAGAATCCTGGCAAAAGAAGGGAACATCTCAGACAAGGAAGAGTCAAGAAAGATGACCAAATGGATATTTTTGAGGTAGAAAGGAGAGATTAGGTAGTTCAGGCCTGGTGGCATTGATCTCTTTATATTTATTTGTGAAACAGCTTGCTATATGCCAGATACTGTGCTAGGCTCCGGGTATACAACAGTGCACAAAATTGCTCTCCTGGATAGTATTTAGGTTTTAGCTCTTCTCTATAGCATATGACAGTATTCTTATGGGTCTCCCTACTTGAGTGTAGCTATATTATAGTAACAATGAAGTGACTTGTTCCTGCTGCAACACCAGTGCTTGCTATAATCCCAGACAAACGGTAGGTGCTACTATTTATGGAATTAATTAAATGTCACCTACTATGTGCCACACATTTACCCTTCTTTAATTCATTCAATCCTTATAATGAAGAAAAAGGCTCAGAAAGTTTACATAAATTCCTTCTTGGAGTTTTTGATATAGAATATTTGTCTAGAAAAAAGTTTTATTATTAATTATTGGGTACATTAAGAGTTTTCTGCAGGGGTGCCTGGGTGGCTCAGTGAGTTAAGCATCTGACTTCGGCTCAGGTCATGAACTCACGGTTTGTGGGTTTGAGCCCCGCGTCCAGCTCTGTGCTGACAGCTAGCTCAGAGCCTGGAGACTGCTTCGGATTCTGTGTCTCCCTCTCTCTCTGACCCTCCCCTGCTCATTCTGTGTCTCTCTCAGAAATAAAGAAAAACATCAAAAATGTTTTCTTTTTTTTTTTTTAATGTTTTATTTATTTCTAGGAGAGACAGAGACAGTGTGAGCAGGGGAGGGTCAGAGAGAGAGGGAGTCACAGACCGAAACAGGCTCCGGGCTCTGAGCTGGCAGTCAGCACAGAGCCTGACGCGGGGCTCGAACCCACGAACCGCGAGATCATGACCTAAGCGAAAGTCAGATGCTTAACCGACTAAGCCACCCAGGCGCCCCAAAAAAATTTTTAAAAAGAGCTTTCTGCAGTTCTCATGAAAAGGAAATGTATTCAATAGGCTTATGCCTTTATTGTTGCTTACACTTATTATGATTTAGATAATGGCTTTTTTCAATGAGGGCAAGGTCATGTGTATATTGAGAGCTTCAAAAATATATTCATCCTTTCAAAGAATAACTGAGTTATAAGTGGCAGCTTCTTACACATTTCCCCCAATAAGTACATTCATACTTATTGCCTGAATAATGGACTTTCTCTGTCGTTAGGTTGTTTTCCGAGGAGGTGAAGGGGCTTTGCAGGTTTTGCCTCCCCTGGTTGATGTCATTCCTGAAGCTCGGTTAAACTTAGTGATTTACTACCTTCGTCAAGGTAAGAAAAATTTTTCTTGGTCTTCCTTATAATGAGATATGGTAGAACATCTAATCTCTAATTGAACTACTTGCTTAACTTTAAAAATCCAAAATACTTCCAAAAGTATATTTGAAGCAGGTTCTTAAGATAGAATAAATTTATTGGTGCTTATTTGTTGTACCTTTTCTCTTTATCTTCTCTTTCCTTCTCTGTTGCTTCCAACCTTCACCCTCAGTATGTTTTTCTTTCTTTCTCTTATTTTTCCTTCTTTTGTTCTCTACGCATCCTATTTCAGTTTTTCCAATGTTTTTCCTTCCCCATCCTTATATTTTTCTAGTGTTCTCTGTGTATAACGTACATCCACATTTTCTTGAGTCTTTATCATTAACTATTTTTTATTTACTCTACTTGTCTGCCTTACTGTCTCTTTCCACCTCCAGCTTCTTATGAGAAATACCATGATTCAAAGAGAATGTGACATTTACTGCCCCTAAGTAAGGTTAAAATGATTAGACACATGCCTAAAGAGTCTGTTATCTAACAGTGATGAGTGCAGGATAGGAGCTGCTATGCATTGGTGGTGGCGCTGTGTCATGGACCTTGGACTCACAGTGTGGGCTTTTTAGGTGCATGGTAGAAACCAACCAGACCACATACTCCTCATTGAGGAAAATGTGTTTATTAAAATAAGAACATGAGCTTGCAAACTTCTATCTGATATATAAACACAACGAAATACGCCTTTGGACAAGAATTAAATATCTTAGGTGTTTTATAAATTAATTTTTATTATAAAAATTTTCAAACTAAGCAAAAGTAAATAGTATAAACACCCAAAATGAACAGTCAGATATTCATTCCAGATTCAAGTCTGGAATGATAGTCTTCAAGATATTGCCATTATTTTTCATCCATCCTCCCCTTCTCTAGTTCACTGCTGAAAGGTTTTAAAGGAAATCCCAGACTTCATGTCATTTTACTCCTACATACTTAATATATATTCTCTTTTTAAAAATCGGTTGCTTTTCTTGTATAATTACAATGCCATCAGTATATAATACTCAGTTCATATTCTTAGCTTGAACCCTTTTTTAGGTGCTTCATACCTTACGGGTTTCCTAAGATGTTTGGTTATCTTTAGGGTAATTACTCCACATTGAACTTGATGGAGAGTTAGAAGACAGATAAAACAATTCACACTTCCCATGAACATTTGAGTACTGAAGGATCTTATCTTTTTGGGACTATTTCAGAAGAGTTTGCTGGAATATATAGACTAGTATAGCTACTTATTTCTTGTGTTTCAGATGATGTGCAAGAAGCTTATAACTTAATTAAAGATCTGGAACCTACTACTCCTCAGGTAATTGAAAATGTGTTACCATTTTACTAACCAACTTCTGTTGAAAGTGGAATTTCAGAAAGGTATCGAGAAGGCATATTAGAAAACATTCCTGCTTGTAGAATCTCAGGAAAGACCATATATATTGATCTAGGAATGTCCTGTGAAGCTTTCTATATGAGAATGAATATTCTGGATTTTTTATGTTTTTAAACTCCCTTATATGTGGTCATTTCCTCAAAAGGGCTGAGGTTTGAAAAAACGGAAATCTAGGATTACAATGGAACTGACAGCAAGGTATAGAAACTTATCTCACTAGTATAATTGCTTGTACTTTGTCTTTCCCCTTACTAGATTGCTAGCTCTTTGTAGTCAGGGACCGTTGTCTATACGCATGTAGTAGACATTGCACTTATTGAATGAAAGACTGAAAATGTTTCTAGACCTCATGAAATCTAAGCACGTATAGTTCTCAAGTGTATTAAAAGCTTCAGCATTTGGACGCCTGGGTGGCTCAGTTGGTTGAGAGTCTGGCTCTTTATTTTGACTCAGGTCATGATTCTAGGGTCATGGTATGGAGCCCCACACTGGTCTCTATGCTGAGTGTGGAGCCTGTTTAGGATTCTGTCTCTCTCTTTGCCTCTCCACCCCACTCATGCTCTCTCTGTCTCTCTCTCTCTCTCAAATAAAAAAAATAAAAGAAAATCTTCAGCATCTTTTGTGTTCTTTTTATGAGCCCTCTTAAATAAAAACAGTACCTACTTAAAAAATTGATAGCTGCTAAGGAAGGTGTCTATTAAAGAATAGAGCTATGTCTGAAAGCAATAAGAGTGAGGTCTCAAGGCTCCAAAAGAGAGAATACCTTACAAATGGGGATCAGAGGATACTTTTTTTGGAGGAAAAGGATTATTATGAAAATAAAGTTATATTATTGGCAAGAGAAAATACTATATATGTTGTGGTAATGAACAATGGCAGGGGCTAATAAGGTGATAAAAATTATTACATAGATATTTTATTGTTAATTTTTTCCATTGAGTTGAAATAAAACCTTAACTCCTTGAAGTTTCCACTGAGTTTTTCTTGCTTAAGATTGAGAATTTACAAATATGGTGAATTCTGTTATATGGACACTTTTCTGAAAACCAAATGAAAGTCTCCTAATTCTTTCATTCAAGACAAGGATGGAAAAAAGAAAAGTGATTCTGGGTAACTTTTGATAATATATGTAAAGTATTAAGTTGAAATTAATTTGGAAGACATCTCGTAGCTACACATTCTTTTAACAGTAATTAGTGTTATTCCATGTTGCCAGGAGTATATCCTCAAAGGAGTGGTCAATGCGGCCCTTGGCCAGGAAATGGGTTCAGTAAGTATGAAATCACTGGTAATCTATAGTTTGCAGTTACAGTGTCTTGGAAAAGATCAAAATGAATGTTCAAGTTCAGCCAGCGAAAAGCTTATGATTACGCTCATCTGCAGTTCCTTTCATTCCTCCATATCTCCCCACAGAGATTCCATTGTAAAAAGAATTCTTTGTTATTTAAAGACCAAAAAAAGAAAGCTTTAACCCTAAGAATTGGTGCTTCAACTTTAAAGCAGTGTTAATATCTAATAACAACCACAAATCATCACACATCTTCATTCTTATTTTCAGTGAGTTGCATTAACCTTGCATACCCCTGAGCTATAATTTTGGCATCTGTAAAATGGGGATAATTGTTTCTTTGGCAAAGACTTTTTATGAACACTGCCTAAAATCAAGTTCTTATTCATATGAATATGGCACATTACGTTCTTTTTGGAACAAAATGGGTATAAGTAAATCTTTTTTATATCTGGCTCACTCTACAATGCTTCCTATAGTGGATAGACATTAAGTAGTTACTGAATAAAATGAATGAGTGTATTTAATTAATACCCCTTGCTATAGCCATGGCTCCTACCACACTGATACAAGATAAAGGAGCAATAAATATCTGTTCAGTGTGTGAATGAACAACTAAATTAATGAGTTCATTTAATGAAGGCACTTTTAGAATAGAATTTAGGGATTGGATTTTTTTTCCTTCTTTTTTTATCTGACCCTGGGTAGATTTTAATTCAGTCTCAGGTTATGATTCTCTCGTTGCTTATGCTAATAAGAATTAGTTTGGGAGAGGGTTTAAAAGAAGGGTATATAATAAATCCTGGCAAATATTTTAAAACCATAACGTATAATACAAATAAAATACTTTCAGCTTATATCAGCTCTCTCTGCTTTGTTTTTCAGAGGGACCATATGAAAATTGCCCAGCAATTCTTCCAGCTGGTGGGAGGGTCAGCGAGTGAGTGTGGTATGTATGTCCGAAATCTGTACTCATTCACATGATTTGTAATTGTTGGAACTGGTCATATATTGACTGGTGAAGTTTGAGTCTCTGTCTGGGGATACATCTGTCAGGCTTGAAAGAAAAGGACTAAGTAGGAAGTCCTGTGGGAGGGACACGGGAGGGAATATTGGATTAGCTCTTCCCAACATCTCAGCTAAAGTGGGATGAGAGAATATATAAATAGAGGAGAATAAATGTAATCTTTAGTTCATGAGAGTTCTTAAAATTCAATTCTGGTTTTTTTTTTATGTTTATTTTTTATTTATTTTGAGACACACAAGGAGTAAGCAGGGGAGGGCTGGAGAGAGAGGGACGGAGAATCCCAAGCAGGCTCCATGATGTTAGCACAGAGCCTGATGTGGGGTACAAACCCACAAACAGATCATTACCTGAGCTGAAATTAAGAGTTGATTGGGGCGCCTGGGTGGCTTAGTCGGTTAAGCGTCCGACTTTCGCTTAGGTCATGATCTCGCGGTTCGTGGGTTCGAGCCCCGCGTCGGGCTCTGTGCTGACTGCCAGCTCAGAGCCTGGAGCCTGTTTCAGTCTGTGACTCCCTCTCTCTCTGACCCTCCCCTGCTCCGCTGTCTNAAAAAAAAAAAAAAAAAAAAGAGTTGAATGCTTAACTGGCAAGCCACGCAGGAGCTCCGACTCTGTTTTTGATTTGAAATGCTAACTTCCATTGATTGTTCAAGGACTCTCTAGGTATTCAACTTTTATCATGTCATAGGTATTTTCATTTGCCTTTTAATTTTGCTGATGGTATTTTTTCACGTATAAAAATATTTAAATCTCATTTAATTGAGTTTATCTTTTTATGATGATATTATACATGGGTATCTAGCTTAGGAAATACTTTTGTGCCCCCGCAGTTATATAATATTCACTTACATTTCCCACTAGTAGTTTTGTTACTTAATTTTTTAATTGAAGTATTGATTTCATTGGTCAAGATTGAGTGTAAGATTTGAGACAGGGCTATAAAAAGGGCTGACAGTTTACCAGTGTGAACTGATAGGGCTGTTTGCACCAGTTGTCAAAGGCCAGCATCTATTCTGATGGACAGTGTTCATAGCGAACTAGTTGTTAAATATTTTTATCACCTCTGAATATTCAATTTCTCTCAAATGTTTCACCAAAACCATTTGTTGAATAATATTTCCTTTCCTCATTTCACTCATTTATATAACAAAAATTTATTAAGGTACTGGAGATACAGCAGGAAACAAAACTAACAAGTCCTCCTCCATTGTGTAGTATACAGTCTAGTGGGACAGACAGTAAACACGATAAAGAAATAGATCATATGGTGCATCTGACTGTGATAAGTGCTGTGGGGGAAAAATTGAACCGGGCAAGAATGGAGTGCCAGTGACAAGGCTGGAGGTCATACTAATTCTCTACTATCTCAAACAGGAATCTGATATCAGACAGAAAGTTGTTCAGGATCAGGACCAGATGGTTCCATGGCAAATTATTTCTCCATTTGGTTTGGAAGTGCTAGGTTGTCTTATAGACGAGCGATGATGGAGACTAAGCCGCGTTGGTTGCACGTGTTGAAGTAGGTGAGAGACTCAAAGGCCTGGAAAAGCATCCGAGGAATACCGTAGCCTGCAGGGAGTGTGTTCATTCTGGAGTCTGTGAGTTAGGCCTGAGAGAGAGTATTGGTCACTCTCAAGTACTGTGTGACTTCCATTATGCTGGGGTTTTGCCCACCGAACAGAATCTATAATCTCAGAGTCTAGAAAGAGGTCTTGGAATACATTCCTATCTCTAAATTATAAAGCATCTCAAATCTCAGTTAAGGAGAACTTTCAGTTTCATGAATATACCTGGTTCCTTTTCCCGTTCCATTTCAGATACAATACCTGGGAGGCAGTGCATGGCTTCCTGTTTCTTCCTGCTTAAGCAGTTTGATGATGTGTTGATTTACCTCAACTCATTTAAGGTCAGTATAGAATTTTCTAGATGAGTTTGTATACAGACTACTAAATATAATGTGTCGGAGGTAAGACACTCTGAGAGATGGCCCTTTTACAATGGTGACATTGGTGGTATCAGCTCATGCCTTAAAATGATCTTTGAGTTTATCTGGTATAACTGATGTTTGTATATTTTGTATGTTAATACTCAATGTGTCCTATTCTTGGGATGTTTTTCAGAGTTACTTCTACAATGATGACATCTTTAACTTTAATTATGCCCAAGCCAAAGCTGCAACAGGCAATACCAGCGAGGGCGAAGAGGTGGGTACCTGCTCTTGATGCATTAGAATGATTCTATTTATAGACATTGTTAATCTTTAACTTTTTGAGGAACCCACACTGTTTTCCAGAGTGAAATAAAACAGATGAACGTAGAGGAAAGAAAAAAAAAAAGAGAAGTAAACCGTAAAACAGACTCTTAACCATAGACCACAACCTGAGGGCTGCTGGAGGGGTGGTGGGCAGGGATGGGCTAAATGCCAGGTGGGTACTAAGGAGGGCACGTGGTAAGCACTGGGTGTTGGATGGAAGTGATGAATCACTAAATTCTACATCCGAAACAATTATTACATGATATGTTAACTCTCTGGAATTTAAGTAAAAACTTGAAAATAAATGATAAAAGTAAAAACATAGTTACCTTTTTGTCCCTGAAATAAAATGTTCAAGGGCAAGGGGTTAAGAAAAGTTCTTTTGTTCTTAGGTTATATTAAAAAGTAAGATGTGAATAGGCACAGATTTTATAACTATATTACTATTTTCCCTTTTTTTGGTAAAGTGTATGAAAGCATAATATACACTGAGAAAAGTATACAAATCAAAGTATACAGCTTGATAAATTTTTAAAGTGAACATACCCAGAAAATCAGTACTCAGATCATGAAACAGTATTACCCTGGCCCCATAGAAATCTCTTCCATCTACTTGTTTGAGTCCGTCTCTTTCCCCCAAGGCTAACCACTATTTTGACTTCAAACTTTATAGACTAATTTGTGTGAGTCATTCAAAGCACTTCAGTTGAATTATTCAATTTAATTTTGTTATTATTTAGCAAATTGTTCCACTTATTCTTATTCAAATTCTAATTATTTCCTAACTTCCATTATGAGGTCTTCTTTGTGAAAAATTTTTAAATGTTTTTATTTATTTTTGAGAGAGAGAGAAAGACAGAGCATGAGCGGGGTAGGGGCAGAGAGAGGGAGACACAGAATCCGAAGCAGGCTCCAGGTTCTGAGCTGTCAGCACAGACCCCAATGTGGGGGCTCAAACTCACAAACCATGAGATCATGACCTAAGCCGAAGTCACATGCTGAACTGACTGAGCCACCCAGGTGCCCCTTCTCTGTGAAATTTTATTTAAATGTGTTTCATGATTTTAAGATATGTGTATTATCTTTCCCAGGCTTTTTATTTTGATTTCTAACTTCATTGTATTGTGATCATCCATTGTGGTCTGTATGACACCAGTCCTTCAAACTTCGTTGAGACTTGTTTTACTACCCAGTAATATGGTCATGTGTTCTTAAACCAATATGTATTATGCAATTGTTAATTATTCTGTTCAAATCTCATATATCCTTACCAACCTTTTCCCAGCCTGTGAGATCAGTAACTGAAAGAAGCGTGTCAACATCACCCCAGTTTTGTCCTTTACTTTTCTTTTTTTTTTCTTTTTAATATTTTTATTTATTTCTAGGAGAGAGAGAGAGAGACAGCGTGAGCAGGGGAGGGTCAGAGAGAGAGGGAGACACAGACTATGAAATAGGCTCCAGGCTCTGAGCTGTCCTTTACTTTTCCCAACAGCCTGTGTAGCGTTTGATCATCTGTAAGGCTAACTAAGTATTAACCTAAGGCAAACCAAACCCATATAGGTACTTTTATTGCAAAAATATCTTCATGTTTATTCCTTTTCTTCCCTCTTCTTGCAGGTTTTCCTTTTAATCCAAAGTGAGAAGATGAAAAATGATTACGTTTACCTCAGTTGGCTAGCTCGGTGCTGTGAGTCTTCATTTGTTTTTTATTTTTATTTATTTTTAATTTTTTAACGTTTTTATTATTGAGAGACAGAGAGAGACAGAGCATGAGTGAGGGAGAGGCAGAGAAAGGGGGAGACACAGAATCTGAAGGAAGCTCCAGGCTCTGAGCTGTCAGCACAGAGCCCAGTGCGGGGCTCAAACTCACAAACCGTGAGATCACGACCTGAGCTGAAGACAGTCACTTAACTAGCTGAGCCACCCAGGCGCCCCTGTGAGTCTTCTTTTAAATGTTACAGAGGAATTCTGTTTGTCTTCTCTGTTGCATAATCTTTTGGATGGAAATTATATTCATTATTTATTTATTTATTTATTTTATATATTCATTTTAAAGTTTATTTATTTATTTTGAGAGAGAAGAAGAGCACAAGCAGGAGAAGGATGGCGGGGGGCGGGGGGGGGCGGAGAATCCCAGTCAGGGTCCATGCTGTCAGTGCAGAGGCTAATCCAGGAGATCATGACCATGAGATCATGACCTGAGCCAGAATCAAGAGTTGGATGCTCAACCGAGTGAGCTACCCAGGTGCCCCTTGTTTTATTTTTTTATTGTAAAGAGAGAGAGAGCAGGGGAGAGGAGTAGATGGAAAGAGAGAATCCCAAACAGGCTTTGTGCCCAGCATAGAGCCCAACATAGAGCTCAATTCCATGACCCCAGGGTCATGACCTGAGCTGAAATCAAGAGTTAGGTGCTTGGGGCACCTGGGTGGCTCAGTCGGTTAAGCGTCTGACTTTGGTTCAGGTCATAATCTCACAGTTCATGAGTCTGAGCCCCACATTGGACTCTGTGCTGGCAGCTCACAGCCTGGAGACTACTTCGGATTCTGTATCTCCCTCTCTCTCTCTCTGACCCTCCCCTGCACACGCTGCCTCTCTCTCTCTCTCAGGAAAAACTAACAAACAAACAAACATTAAAAAAGAATCAGGTGCTTAACCAACTGAGCCACCCAGGCACCCCTACAGTAAACATTTCTAATTTTGTTTTGTAGAATGAGTAAACCCTGAAACTAAGCATCATTAATGCTACTTAGTAAGGGTGGCCATGTACGTGTATTACATACCTTTCCCCCGTAGTTGGTTCTACCATACAACGTTGACCTAGCATGAATAGTCCTGAAAGGTGCCAAGTTCTTCCCTCAGCCCTGTTCAAGTTTCCGAATCTCAGCTTACAGTGTTCTGTGTTAAATATGCTCATTTTACCTTTTCATTATGATGAAGGCCTGAAAAGTGGTAAAATGTCGGAAACATATTTTTTAATGTTTTTAAAAAGTTTATTTATTTTGAGAGGGTGTACATGTGGGTGAGCTGGGGAGGGGCAGAGAGAAAGGGAGAGAAAGAATCCAAAGCGGGCTCCGTGCCTACAGCAAGGGCTCAATCCCACAAACCATAATTTTTTTTTAATATTGTATAGCCTACAACTTTGTCCATCTGTCTCCCCTCTTCATTATCTTTTCTTGCTCCTTTTTTTCACTTGGATTTAAAATGTTCACAGTTTTTGAAGTCAAGAGAAAATTTCAGTAATCATATATTTTGAGGCTGAAACTGTATGAGTAGGATTTAATGAATGATATGTGACTTTTAAGTAGATGAGCAAAGTGGGAACTACTGGAAATCAACCCAATCTAAAAAGACATAATTATGTGAATCCTGACTTAAATATTTTATGTATGATAGAGTTCTGATGGAGAACCAGCTTAATGATAACCTTGTAAGCTTTCTGCATAAGGGCTGTTTACCATTTCTTTGTCTGTTTGGAACATAGAACCAAAGCCAAAGAGTAACAAGATGCAGAATTATATTTCCTGCACGTTTAAAAGGCAAAACTGTGGGGCACCTGGGTGACTCAGTCAGTTGAGTGTCCCAACTCATGATCTCAGGGTCATGGGATCAAGCCCCACATCAGGCTCTTTCTTGAGCATGGAGTCTGCTTAGGATTTTTTTTCTCTCTTTCTCTCTTTCCCCTGCTTGCACACTCTCTCTCTTTCTCTCTCAAATAAATAAATAAAGGCAAAAATCTTTTTTCTTTCTTTTTTTTTTTTTTTTTTAATAGATATAATGAATAAGAAACCAAGACTAGCCTGGGAACTGTATCTCAAGATGGAAACTTCTGGCGAGTCCTTTAGCCTCTTACAGCTCATTGCTAATGATTGCTACAAGGTGAGTCCGAGTGAGACCTAAAGGGAAAGCTGCAGGTCAGTCACGCAGTCCTACACTGACCAAATATTAGGGAAGGGCGTCCTAGAGATTAAATGGCCATTGGTGAAAAGACCCACATGGTGATATCAGAAATGTCATCCCTGGGGCGCCTGGCTGGCTCAGTCAGAGGAGCATGCAACTCTTGATCTCAGGGTTGTGAGTTCAAGGCCCATATTGGGTGTAGAGAAAACTTAAAAATAAAATCTTAAAAAAGGAAAGAAAAGAAAAGAAATATCATGCCTTTTATGAACATATGAATTCAGAGATAGCATTTCACAGTTTTATATACATATCAAGTATGTATGCATATAAATGAAATATGAAATAATGTATATGAAACAATGATTTAGAGAGGTTGTCTTAGATTTCTAAAGACTCTGAATCTTTAGCTATCATCCAGGCAGATATGTTCATGTGGTAGTTGGAAACTTGGTTCTGAGGCTCCGGAAAAATGTCTTCTGACATATAGAGACATAGATTTGGAGAAATCAGCCCCATTTCAATAGTAATTGAAGCCTTGATAAACAGGATTACTAGGTAAGGAAGTAAATTGAGAAGAGTAGAGAGATGCAAACCAAACTGTAGGGAATACTTAGGGGCAAATAGTAGACTGGAGAGACAAAGGAACCAGAAAAAGAGAATAAAAAAGCAATCAGATTTTGTAAAAGACTAGGTATGTGTGTGTGTGTGTGTGTGCAAGGGAGGGCATGGGTGTGGGTGGGGAGTTGGAAAGGCAGGGAGAAGGAGGGAGGACTTTGGAGTCCTATCCTATAGATTAGAAGCTTTTTAACAAATTAGCCTCACATTCTGGAAATTCCTATTGGGGAATATTTGAGTGAGAAGAGTCTAGTGTTAAATCAATAATAGCTAATTTCAAAATGAATCATTACAAAAATAAAGCGAATCACCACCAATGGAAAAGGTTTTAAAACCTAGGAAACTTGAGGGGTACCTGGGTGGCTCAGTTGGTTAAGTATCCAACTTCAGCTCAGGTCATGATCTCACAGTTCATGGGTTCGAGCCCTACGTCGGGCTCTGTGCTGACAGCTCAGAGTCTGGAACCTGTTTTGGATTCTATGTCTCCCTCTCTCTCTGACCCTCCCCTGTTCACGCTACAGCAAGGGCTCAATCCCACAAACCATAATTTTTTTTAATATTATATAGCCTAAACCTTTTTCCATCTGTCTCCCCTCTCCATTATCTTTTCTTGCTCCTTTTTTTTCACTTGGATTTAAAATGTTCACAGAGTTTTTGAAGTCAAGAGAAAATTTCAGCAATCATATATTTTGAGGCTGAAACTGTATGAGTAGGATTTAATGAATGATATGTGACTTTTAAGTAGATGAGCAAAGTGGGAACTACTGTCTTTCTCTCTCTCTCTCTCTCTCTCTCAGAAATAAATAAAACATTAAAAAATAATAATAGGGGCGCCTGGGTGGCTTAGTCGGTTAAGCGTCCGACTTTGGCTCAGGTCATGATCTTGTGGTTCGTGGGTTCGAGGCCTGCGTCAGTCTCTGTGCTGACAGCTAGCTCAGAGTCTGTAGCCTGTTGCAGATTCTGTGTCTCCCTCTCTCTCTGACCCTCCCCTGCTCATGCTGTCTCTCTCTCTCTCTCTCAGAAATAAATAAAACATTAAAAAAAAGTAAAAAATAATAAAATAAAATAAAACCTAGGAAACTTGAAAATGTTTAACACAACTTAGTAGATGGCAATGACATTAAGTGAGTTAGGGGAGGCAGAGGGAAAGAAAGCATTCAGACAGGAATTTAGTTCAATTGTAGATGTATTAAATATGAAGTGTGTTTGGGGCTCCAAAAATTTCTTGCTTCAATTTTATCAAAAGCCAAGGGAGGAGCATGTCACGTCTGCAGCCTGATAGAACTGCATGAGACCTGAGAAAACACTAGTGGGTAGAGAAAAGAATGAGATTAGAAAGCAGACTCAGTGAGTGTAGACCACAGTCCAAGAAATTGATGCTGAGGATAAGGGGGAAATGTGATGCTAAATTAAAAGGAAAAGCAGGGTTAGGGACCTGAGGTGGGGGAGTATTTTTTAGGTGGAGGGAGAGGTTTTTGTTTTGTTTTGTTTTTAGAGTAGGGAGTAAGAGTATCCTTAGGCAGAGGAGCTGTTGAACAGGGAGGTTAGAGAGATTCAAGAGAATGGGAACATTTCTGATGGAAGAAAGCCCTAAAGGAGATAAGAGGAAGATGGGGCTAAAATCAAAGAAGATAATGACCTTGAAAAACAGTTCAGTCTTACCTACTATCTTAGTGCTCCCATGACCACCCACTAGTTGGGAAGTCACTGAAAGGGTTTAGAGGACTCAAAGTTACACTCATGGCTAAGATTTACTACAATATAGAAAAAGCAGGAAAAAGATACATATAGGAGAAGACTGGAGAGGTCAAGCCCAGGCTTTTTTGTCTTCCCTCTGTGCTAATTGCACAATCTTGTCTTTCTCAAGCTCCAAACTACAGAGACATGTATGAGATGTCCTTGTCCAGGAAAAATAGAAAGGGTAGATGGGGAAAAAAATGGCAGAATTAAGTCCTCTAATATTAAAAGTAAATGGTCTAAATTAAAAGAGAATTAAAAGAGAGACATTGACAGAGTGGATAAGAAACCATGACCCAACTATATACTTTTTGCAAGAAACTCATTTTAAATATGATATAGGTAGGTTGAAAATAAAAGGACAGAAAAAATGTGTACCATGAATTAAGCAGTTTCTTTAACAAACAAGCACATGCTTACCGTATGACTCAGCAATCACACTCCTGGGCATTTATCTCAGAAACGAAACCTGTATCCATACATGTACCTATTCCCAATGTCAGTAACCGCTTTATTTGTAGTAACCCAAAACCGGAAATGCTCCAAGTGTCCTTCTGTAGCGAATGGTTAAACAAACCAGTTTGGCACGGACTGTTGCTTAGTAATAAACAGGAACAGTGATGACAGCCCCGACTCCCTTTCTTAATGTTTGACTGCTGACAACTTTTAAGCTTCACCCTTCCTTTTTCCCCTTGTGCCCCACATCTGGACACAATGATAAGAAATGCTAGACACTCTCGTTTCTGGTGCCATCAGGCGATTCAGACAACATGAGCCCCTCCTGGAGCCCAGGATGCTCATCCCACCCTGCCCCCAACCACAGTGAAAACCCAGCCAGTCTTCTTGCCTTGCTCTCTCTTGAAAGGCCTGCCCTACCCCTCCCAGAGATCTCAGTTATATACGTAAGAAATCTTTCCATGCTCTCTTGGTGTGTGTATGGCATCATCCAAACCAAACTTTGGGTGGAGGTGCCTCCTGCTTTTTCAAGGTTATGTAATAGGAACAAACTAATGATACACACAGTAACTTGGATTTTTTTTTAATTGAAGTATAGTTGACACACAATGTTACATTAATTTCAGGTGTACAATTTAGTAATTCGACAACTCTGCATGTTATGCCGTGCTCACAAGTGCAGCTACTATCTGTCACCATGCAAAGCCATTATGAACCATTGACTGTATTCCCTATACTGTACCAGAATAACCTGAATTAATAAGGAATAAGAAGGACATTATGCTGAGTGAAAAGAGTCAATCTCAAAGAGTCCCATACTGCTTGATTTCATATACATAACATTCATGAAATGAAAAGGATAGAGATGTAGAACAAATTAGTGATTGCTGGGGGTCAAGGATGATGAACAGGGAGAGGAGTGTGTATGACTATAAAGGGGTAGCACAGCTTTGTGATGATAGAATAGTTCTGTATCTTGATAGTTACGTGAATCTGCACATTTGATGAAATGACAGAACTATACAGACATTATAGCAATGTCAATTTCCTTGTTTTAGATACTGTGATATTGCACTATAGTAAGCTCTAACTGGGGGATTTGGGTGAAAGGTACATGGGACCAAAAAAAAAAAAAAAACCCTGAAGTTTTGGAGTGCCTGGCTGGCTCAGTTGGTAAAGCACGTGACTCTTGCTTTGGGGGTGTGAGTTTGAGCCCTACGTTGGGTGTAGAGATGACTTAAAAATAAAATCTCTTAAAAAAAAAAAGAGAAAGAAAAGAAAAAGGTACATGGGACCTCTCTGTACTATCTCTGTTACATCCTATTAATCTAGAATTATTTCAAAATAAGTATTTTTTAAAAAATCAACCAATTAGAGCTATATCCAGTATATAGGAGCATCTTAACATATGTAAGACACAAAATATTTATGGTATTCATAAAGATAAAGTTTTGGGGCACCTGGGTGGCTCGGGTGGTTAAGCGTCCGACTTCGGCTCAGGTCATGATCTCACGGTTCGTGGGTTCAAGCCCTGCGTCAGGCTTTGTGCTGACAGCTCAGAGCCTGGAGCCTGTTTCAGATTCTGTATCTCCCTCTCTGACCCTCCCCTGCTCACCCTGTCTCTCTCTCTCTCTCAGAAATAAATAAAAAACATTAAAAAAATTTTTTTAGAAAGATAAAGTTTTAAAAGGCGAAGTTTAATGATATTGTCTAAAGGTATATACAAGGCAATAAAACTATTTTAAAAAGTTAAAGAACTGATGACCATAAAAGTTGGAATAGTAGTTGCTTCTGGAGGGAAGGAGAGCATTGTAGTCTGGCAGTGATACAGAAAGAGCTAGACAGCTGTCAGTGCCTTGTTTCTTGACCTGAGCGGGGATTACACTTGTGTTCATGTTCTATGCATTAAATTGTACATTATTCTATATCTGTGTTATTTCACCAAAAATAATTTTCTGAAGAGAACATAGGAAGAAGGTATAACCTTGAAAAGGAATAAGAACACTTCCTTCTATGAAATGTACAGAAACAAGGAAAGGAGAGTTGAAAATACACATATAATTTGAACCAAAGGGAAGAAAGTTGTGTTTTCCCTGAAGGATAGAAAAATGCTAAGCTAAGAATGCAATAGAGATCTTAAGGAAATTACCAAAGGTTTAGAACAGCAGCTTACGGGAATGGAGAAGGAACTAACCGACACTGAGCAAGGAGGATTGCCCAGCAAGTTGAAGACTTCGACAAAATGGCAACATTATACATTTATGACTGCCAGTCAAGAAGACTCACCTAACCACAGTTTACTAGTATTCAGCATGCTCTACATGGCCGAGGAAATGTGTAGTATATTTGGGAACGAGATTTGTCAAAAATGAATGAAATGTTTAGAAGATTTGATGTTTAGAGTAGTAGTCAGTACCCATCTAGGCATTTTAAGAACTTAGGAACACGGTCAGGGAAAGTAACGTTTTCTTGGGTTGAACACGATCAAATTACTATAAAATGAATGATAATAATCACCTACAGAATGTATTGTGGAAACCTGAAAGTGTGGAACCTGCTTGGGATTCTCTCTCTCTCCCTCCTTCTCTGTCTCTGCCCCTTCCCCACTTGTGTCTCTCTCAAAATAAGTAAATAAACTTTAAAAAAAAGATTACACTAAGCAGAAATGACAGATGCGTTGACTATCGTATAACTTGACTATATGTAGGAAAAATGTTATATTGTTGAAAACTGATATAACTTGAACCATGTACTCAACTTCTGATTTTCCTTCTTTAGTTTTAGTAAGGAATTGAAATTTATCTAATTTGCTAGCTGAAAATATTATCACTAACCGTACATTTTTTTAACATAGTTCTGTTTCATGCTGTCTTTACGTTTTGTTTCATTCGGTGCAATCTTCTGAATACAAGTATTATCACAATACTTTCTTTTAATCAGATGGGCCAGTTCTACTATTCTGCCAAGGCATTTGATGTCTTAGAGAGGCTGGATCCTAACCCTGAATATTGGGAAGGCAAGAGGGGTGCCTGTGTGGGCATTTTCCAGATGATCTTAGCTGGACGAGAACCCAAGTAAGTAATCCGACAAGAGACACCGCCTCTATTCTTTTGGGGTTTGTAAAGAAAAAGAATTATTTTCTTGTATTACATCTTCTGAAAACCCAAAACTATAATGATGTTTTATGATGAATAGAAGATTAAAGTTGTTTTAGATGTCTATCTGATGTTTTCACTCCAGTAACTTTTTATGTTCTAAATCATTTGTACTGGGGACATGAGTATACTAGAGCTTTCAAAAGGAAGAGCAAGATACATATTTGGCTCCAAATGAATTGTCATTTTTATTTTTTAAAAAAGTCTCTTTTCCTTTCTTCTATTGGCTTTTTCTTGTGCTTTACATTGGGCTTCAAAGATATAGGAATTGGGGCGCCTGGGTGGCTCAGTCGGTTGAGTGTCTGACTTTGGATCAGGTCATGATCTCGTGGTTTGTGAGTTCAAGCCCCGCCTCGGGCTCTGTGCTGACTGCTCAGGGCCTGGAGCCTGCTTCGGATTCTGTGTCTCCTTCTCTCTCTGCCCTTCCCCTGCTCACATTCTGTCTCTGTCTCTCTCAAGAATAAATAAACATCTTAAAAATTAAATATATAAACAAACAGACAAACATTACAAATAAAATCTTTGGGATGAGCATTGGGTATTGTATGTAAGAGATGAATCACTGGGTTCTACTCCTGAAGCCAAGACTACACTGTATGTTGACTAACTTGAAAATAAAATAAATAAATTAAAATAAAATAAAATCTTAAAAAAAGAGAGAGAAAGAGATCTTGGACTCAGAGAAGCAACATGTTCGTATGGAGCTAGAATTTGAACCCAATTCTTTGAACCCATCCCTCTTTCTACTAGGTCATACAGAGTAGGCATAGAAATAGAAATATATCATGTTAGGCCAGAAAGATTAATAGCATGAGTATAGATAATATAAGTAAACAGGAAAACTTGGGTTGGTGAGAAGGCTTTCATAGAATTTCCGTTTTGCTATGCCGTCATAAAAATAAAAGGCTCAGGAGTGCCCGGGTGACTCAGTCAGTTAAGCATCTAGCTCTTGATTTTGGCTCAGGTCATGATCTCGTGGTTTGTGGAATCGAGCCCCACGTTGGGCTGTTTGTGCTGACAGTGCAAAGCCTCCTTGGGATTCTCTCTCTCTCCTTTCTCTTTGCCCCTCCCCTGCTCACATGCATTCTGTCTTGCTCTCTCTCTCCCTCCCTCCCTCTATCTCCCTTCCTCCGTCCCTCAAAATAAATAATGAGACATTAAAAAAATGGAAAGCTTGGAAGTCCATAACTGGTTTGTGAATACATGGTGAAATAGCCTGTTACCAAAAATGCCTTACTGGAAGTAGTAAGGAACAAGTACAAGTTGATTATATCTGTTAATCTATTGAAATGCTTTGTCTCTTCAAATCTTTTCCCCAGAGAGACCCTTCGAGAAGTACTCCACTTACTGAGAAGCACAGGGAATACCCAAGTGGAGTACATCATCCGGATCATGAAGAAATGGGCCAAAGAAAACAGAGTGCCTATCTAAAATAGCACCAGAGGCCTAACCGGTCACCACTTTGATCTAAAATTGGAAATCATTCTCCTCAAGTTTAATGTAAGATGCAGGGCTCTATTTTTTGACATTTCCTTCCTTGCTCTTTGAGCCTCAAGGTCAGTGACTAACTTGCTTAGACCTACCTTCCTGGCTGAACCAAGCGCCACGGTCCGTGCTATGGCCCTGTGTGTGATCCGACTAGCAATAAGACTTTGGACTTGTCTGGTGCCTTTCTTCCTAAAATTCTCAGAGAATTCTTACATAATTTACTGACTTTAAGGAGAATGGCATTATTTTTTTAATGTTAGCATTCGGTGGCATTTTCCCCTAGCTGCAATAACAGACGCCTTTCATGCCCAAGAGCCATCATCATTCCGTCGTCATCTGTACATTATCCCATTTCCCTGCGGTGTCCCACAAAGAATTCGTCATGTGTTCTGGGTCTTAGGAGAGCAGAAGGTATAAAAAGTGGTATGATTCTAAGAGTGGCAGTAAGACTTTTATCAAACTGTCCAGTCATTAACAGATAATGGACTTCGGGGATTGCTCTTTCAGTAATTTTGGTGATAAGTAGCCTGTTATTTATCATCAAATAAACAGAAATATTGCAGCTGTTTAAAAGGTGCATACTATGAAAAAAGTCTCTGCGGTACATTTAAAGGGGTATTCAGGAAATAGTGTGCAAATCTCATCAGTCACTTCTCCGTTGTATTTTAGGGAACTAAACAGGTTAAGGTTCTTTTTCATATATTTTGCTGAATAAGCATCAGTTTTGAATGCAGGGCTACAAAGGTTATATATATGTAGTGTGGCCGTTTATTAATGTAATGATAATCAAGCATGAGTTGTGCAGAGCCCTTCAAGGGACCTCCTAATAGCTGGACCCTAAGTCGTATTCCAGCCTCATGTTTCTGAGCTCTTGTAACATAAACCTGTCATACAACTGGGCACTTTTAGACTCACAACTGATTTTCAGAAAATAGACATACATGTTTTTACCTAGCAGATTACCTTCGTTTCTACCCCATGTATCTTGTTTCTGTTAGTTTAAGGTGCCCAGCATTGCAGGTGTAGAAAGTGCAGAGCCATCCCTCCCTGGCCTGAAAACTGAAAGAATGTCCTAAGTCCTTGAAGCACTGCAGACAGCTTAGAGAATTCCCGCAGGCACCGCGTCGGTTGTCCCCTACACCCCCTGCACGCGCTGTGGCTGAGCCTTAAAGGAGGCGCCGGGGACACGCCAGAGAGCAGCGAGGGAGAGAAGAGCAGGGACTGCGGGTAGCCTTCGCCATCCGGACACTTGCAAGGAGTTCTTCCACTTCCCATCCTTTATCTCAGACCCAGATCTGATCAGTTCAGAGCACAAGTCAAACTAAACTGGCCCGAATAACTGCATTTTAGAAAACAAAATTATATCATTTTTCATATGCCAAAGCTTCTGTCTTCTCATGCTGTCATTTCTACTTTTTCAATAGTTGGTTCTCAGCATCTAAGGTACGTGGTGGATCAGACCTGAGCAGAACCCAGTAGGAGTTTTAGAATTGTCTTGTGATTCTTACTTAAGCTCGCTTAAAATGTTAGGAAACGTAGTAGTGGAAAAAGACAGATGGAGAGTCCTCACTGGCTTTTGGCAATGGAGTTGGTCTTCCAGTTAATTTCTGTTACTGTCACATCTCCTATACAAGATAAGCTTTTCCACTGATGGAGATTTACTTTTAAATGAGCTTTTGTTGAATTTAACGCTCTAGCTTCTCCCTGTCATTTTCCTGTCTTTGGGGGAAGTCAGATAATCCAAAAATAGCAATTCCTGGAATTTTAAACTGGTTTTTTAAAAGTTTTTACTCTATAGAATTTTGTGGCTCTATGCTTTGAGCCACAAAAGCATAAAGACTAGTTTTAAAGAGATACCATCCAGTTGTCATTAAGGATCCTTCTGGAATGTCTTGGCAGGGTCTCAGGATTGTAGAGTCCTGTTGCATGGCCGCTTCTCTTACATGTAATGATGATACAGGAGAGAAGGTGCAGGCTTAGGAATGTAGTGTCACGTGCACAGTTCAGAGCATCGGTGTACTATTTATAGGTGGTAGCAAATATTACTTGCAAATGGAAAAAAACTGTTAACTATTTTTGTACATCAAAAGAATTATATTCTACTGTAATATATTCAAATTAAAGTTTATTATTTGTTATTATGGTATTCTGTTGAGTGTGGCGAATCCAGGTCCTGTGTGTGCCATGTGCCGACTCTCCTTTCCTGACCCCAGAGTAGAGGGGAAGAAACAAGTTTGGGGCTCCACAATGAACTCTTTATGAGAAAGGAAAGTAGATATTTCTTTTTTTTCTTCTTTCATAGTTTATTGTCAAGTTGGATTCCATATAACACCCAGTGCTCATCCCCACAAGTGCCCTCCCCCATGCCATCACCCCCCTTCCCCTCTCCCCCACCTCCATCAGCCCTCACTTTGTTCTCAGCATTCAAGAGTCTTTCATGGTTTACCTCCCTCCCTCTCCCCGACTATTTTCCTCCTCCTCCTCCCACATGGTCCTTCAGAAAGTAGATATTTCTAAGAAACCCTGTCCACTAAGGCTGTGGCTCCCGCCTCATCATATTAGACCTGGCTCGCTTCCGAATCACAGCTCATTTCAGAAGTGTTGTGCCATGCACAGTAGACACCTCACACTCAGAGCGCTTTCAAGTACTTGTTTACTGAATAATTAAACATATCGTAGCTGGTAGAGCAAAGGAACTGTGAGAACTGACCTCATATAATTCTGGTTCCCATCTAATTATTGTTTTTTTTTAAATTTTTTAATGTTTTATTTATTTCTAAGAGAGAGAGAGAGACAGCGTGAGCAGGGGAGGGTCAGAGAGAGAGGGAGTCACAGACTGAAACAGGCTCCAGGCTCTGAGCTGGCAGTCAGCACAGAGCCCGACGCGGGGCTCGAACCCACAAACCGCGAGATCATGACCTAAGCAAAAGTCGGACGCTTAACCGACTAAGCCACCCAGGCACCCCTCCATCTAATTATTGTTTTATTGTGTGCGAAGCATATACTCGGGGCTAGGGATGCAAAGACACCTAGTGGGCAGTCCTGACCGTTACGGAACTCAGCCTCACGGAAGTATGTACAACCGACCACCACAGTGCATGATTTTTGGCATCAATAGGAGCAAAGTGTTGAGAGGAAATGAGGCAATGGGAATGTTTGTATCCCTTGTAAATGGACACCTCCTGCCTCATTTGGGAGAAGCAGTCAGAATGGATCCTGAAACCCAGCAGCTGTACAGTGCACATGCTTCCCTGTGTGTGCAGATGTGTGGTGTGCATCCAAGTAATGGAAGCCAGAGGACCTCTCTCCTTTAAGGCTTGGCACACTCAGAAAGTCGAGAGCAAGTGGGCATTGTGATCTCACAATGGTCGTGCCTGCTTTCTAACAACAAAACTAAATTCGTGGTTTATTAGTTCCTATATTTAGAAATCACTTCATTTGACTCGGATAGTCGTCTCTCTTCTTCATCCTATAAAATACTTCTGAGGTTGGTAAGTATTTTATGATAATGTTCAAACGGTACTCTGCCTATTTAGAGATGCTGTCAGAGAATCATTGTCCATCGTCTACCTTAACTCTGGACGTGTGAAGAAGACACATTTGTACTTTTTGTTGCATCAAAACCCTTTAAGTAAAATCTAGATGCCACGTCCAACTAGGGACCATCTTGGTGGTTGGGGGAAAGGGAAGGAAAGCAGCAGACGCAGCAGGCCCGCATCTGAGGCTGCGCCTCCCAGGGCAACACGCTTCACAGAGCTCTGATCTAGGGAATGAGCTCAGGGGACCCAAACTGTGCATGAACCGTGGCTACTTTAATGCATCCTAGTTTTTGTACATTCATTTGTGAATTCATGGATTTATTTGGTCACTTATGCCCCACTGTGTCCCAGAAAAGATTTGAGATAAATTACCAAAATACATGTGACAAAATACAAATAGAAGGCATTTAGAAGTAAAGAAGCCAAGAGTAAAAGTTCATACACAAAAGTACATACCGGAGTTACTAAAGATGGGCCAGAAATTCACCTTCAAGCTTCCTACCAACCAAAGCAAAGGGTGAAATATAACCAGATACAAAATTCACACCTTTTCTATGTGAATGAACTCCCTAATAGGAAGAAAAAAGTGGATTCTCAGTGATTTCTGATTGTTTATGGGTTGCTGGATTAGGTTTTCTGCACTATAACTTACATATAACTATACGCTTAATGAAAATTTCAAGGGAATCTTATTGCTTCCCTACACATGTACAGGTCATTCCTATTAAGTACATTAAATAATTACATTTGCCCTTCTATTTTTAATTTCCTCTATAAACATAATTATACTCTCCTTTGCCAGTTTTGACTGAGGAGTAGTTATTAATATGGTAGAGCTGAGACATGTTATTCAAGTTTTTAAAATTACAAGTGAGGGGTGCCTGAGTGGCTCAGTCGGTTAAGCGTCCAACTGCAGCTCAGGCCATGATCTCATGGTTTGTGGGTTCGAGCCCCATGTCGGCCTATGTGCTAACAGCTAGCTCAGAGCCTGGAGCCTGTTTCAGATTCTGTATCTCCCTCTCTCTTTGACTCTCCCCTGCTCTCTCTCTCTCAGAAATAAATAAAACATTAAAAAAAATTTTTTTTAATTACAAGTGGGAGTGCCTGACTCACTCAATCAGTAGAGTATATAACTCTTCATCTCATAGTCGTGAGTTCAAGCCCCATGTTGGGCATGGGCCTACTTAAAATAAATAATAATAATAATAATAAAATTACCAGTGTATGTTGGGATGAAAATATGGGTATCAGTGACCTAAAGAATAATTACAGGATACTGGAAAAGCAGTGAAATGATAGCATAGTATAGTTTATACATTCACTGAGGAGATTCAACAGGGAAATACTGTGGAGAAGGTTAAATAGAAAAGGCTACATGGGGCAAGTGAATCTTCAGCTTAAACTTGTATAAAGTTTGATATTGTACTCGATTTGGAAGAGGCGAGTCCGGTCTCAAAATGGAGGTAAAACTGCCGCCCAGTCGCCCCCAGCCCGACTCCGGCCGTCGCCGCCGCCGCAGGGGGGAGGAGGGACATGATCCAAAGGAACCAGAACAGTTGAGAAAACTGTTTATTGGTGGTTTGAGCTTTGAAACTACAGATGATAGTTTAAGAGAACATTTTGAAAAATGGGGCACACTTACAGATTGTGTGGTGATGAGAGACACCCAAACAAAACATTCCAGGGGGTTTGGTTTTGTGACTTACTCTTGTGTGGAAGAGGTGGATGCAGCAATGTGTGCTCGACCACACAAGGTTGATGGGCGTGTAGTGGAACCAAAGAGAGCTGTTTCTAGAGAGGATTCTGTAAAGCCTGGTGCCCATCTAACTGTGAAGAAAATTTTCGTTGGTGGTATTAAAGAAGATACAGAAGAATATAATTTGAGAGACTACTTTGAAAAGTATGGCAAGATTGAAACCATAGAAGTTATGGAGGACAGACAGAGTGGAAAAAAGAGAGGATTTGCTTTTGTAACTTTTGATGATCATGATACAGTTGATAAAATTGTTGTTCAGAAATACCACACTATTAATGGGCATAATTGTGAAGTGAAAAAGGCCCTTTCTAAACAAGAAATGCAGTCTGCCGGATCGCAAAGAGGTCGTGGCGGTGGATCTGGCAACTTTATGGGTCGGGGAGGAAACTTTGGAGGTGGTGGTAACTTTGGCCGTGGTGGAAACTTTGGTGGAAGAGGAGGCTATGGTGGTGGCGGTGGTGGCAGCAGAGGTAGTTATGGAGGAGGTGATGGTGGATATAATGGATTTGGAGGTGATGGTGGCAACTATGGTGGTGGTCCTGGTTATAGTAGTAGAGGAGGCTATGGTGGTGGTGGACCAGGATATGGAAACCAAGGAGGTGGATATGGTGGCGGTGGTGGAGGTTATGATGGTTACAATGAAGGAGGAAATTTTGGAGGTAACTATGGTGGTGGTGGGAACTATAATGATTTTGGAAATTATAGTGGACAACAGTAATCAAATTATGGACCCATGAAGGGGGGCAGTTTTGGTGGAAGAAGCTCGGGCAGTCCCTATGGTGGTGGTTATGGCTCTGGTGGTGGAAGTGGTGGATATGGTAGCAGAAGGTTCTAAAAATTTTCAGAAGAAAAGGGCTACAGTTCTTAGCAGGAGAGAGAGCGAGGAGTTGTCAGGAAAGCTGCAGGTTACTTTGAGACAGTCGTCCCAAATGCATTAGAGGAACTATAAAAATCTGCCACAGAAGGAACGATGATCCATAGTCAGAAAAGTTACTGCAGCTTAAACAGGAAACCCTTCTTGTTCAGGACTGTCATAGCCACAGTTTGCAAAAAGTGCAGCTATTGATTAATGCAATGTAGTGTCAATTAGATGTACATTCCTGAAGTCTTATATCTGTTGTAGCTTTGTCTTTTTCTTTTTCTTTTCATTACATCAGATATATTGCCCTGTAAATTGTGGTAGTGGTACCAGGAATAAAAAATTAAGGAATTTAAAAAAAATAAATAAATAAAAAAAATAAAACTTGTATAAAGTTTAAGTAGAGAATAAGTAAACAATTGTCAGAAGAAGCATAAAAGAAGACGTGAGAAATTTTTACAGATGTTTAGTCTTAATTTAGTTTCAGTTTTTCTATTTTCATATAATTTGTTCTGTGAAAAACAGTATGGCCTTATTTGTAAACCTGTAGTTTCATACCGTGAACAATTCCACTCCTAGGTGCATGTCCAGGAGATATTCCTATACATGTATCACGGGAGACACACTCAAGAATGATCCTCACACACTGTCTCCAGGAAAAACCTGGAAACAACCCAATAATACGCTTCGACCAGAAAGTGGGTAAACTGTGGTAATGTCACAATGGGATATTACACAAAATAAATGGACTACAGCCTCTTGCAACAAAATGGATGAAACTTAGCAATATATTGCTTACAGCAGCGGCTTTTTATAAAGTAAAGACAACTCAAATATCAATACACAATCAAAAGGGTGGCGGGAGAAAGATGAACAAGGAAGGCAGGATGGGGGTTACCAGGAGGGGGGAGACGGGCTGGGGTAAA